ACAACAACAACAACAACAACAACAACAACAACAACAACAACAACAACCTCTCTTCTTCTCATGCGCCCGGCGGGTTGCGCAGCCGCAGCCTACGCTGACACTCTGGTCAGCGGACTCCTCAAGGGAGAGCTTTGTGGTGCGTAGCCTTTTGCAGGTTTGGGTGCATTCTAGCGGCACGGATCGACCTTCCGTTCTTTGAGCACGACAGGACTCATGACATCCGATGGATTCCTCTCGTGCCAGTGTCAGGTGTCGTGCATCTTGGAAGCCGAAACTCAGGACACTTTGTCACCTTCGTAAAGGCCTGGAACCCCTCCTGTTGGTATGAATTGGATGATGCCAAGCCTGCCAAAGACGCATGATAGCCTTCCTGACTGGGCCAAGAGACGCCTTTTCCTGATATGGCTGTGTCCGGCCCCTTGTATGGTAGACTCTTCGGCTCCATCCATGAACGACTTGAGCACCTTGTCCACTCACGGGTCCCGAGCCGTGATGACCGACGAACAGGATGACCGAATGTCGACAGGACACCCTGTTGAAGATACTGAGGACTCTGAAGTTAGTGCCTTGGATGCTCCTTGGTCTTTTCCAGAGGATGTGACTGATGAGCAGCAACTCAACATGCTACTGTCACGCATAGCTGCGGTGCTTGACACTCCCACCACTGCTGCCTCACCGCCTGGCGGCCGCTGACCAACAAGTGGCGCTGATGAGCGGCCTGCAGCTCCTGCGCCTGTGAGCTGCGACTGAGGCTAGTGACGGCGCCAGACCTTAGCTCCCTTCATGGTTGAGCATCATGGCTAATACGCCACCATGTTTTTGTATACTCTGAGCGTCTCCTCAAGCTCGGTCAGGTTGTTGTGGCCTAAGAGCGGAGTGAGCATCAGAGCACGATCAATGTGTATACACTTCAGAGTTCCAATCGAAAGGAAAGCTGAGCGCATGGATTCGGCATATATCCAAGGCTGAAGGAGCTGTGTCAATGTGGGATATTGCCAAGAACCTGCTTCAGATCGCTCTACTTTCAGATCTCCTCTCCCACAAGTCATAGACACGGCCTCAGATTCAAGCCAGGTGACGAGCTCAGAAACAAATTCACATACGTCCCTCAACATACAGTTCAAGGAAGCATGACGGAGGAGGTCAGGAAAGGCCAAGGCCACACTTGTCCCCGGAATGGCTTGCAGCCTGTGGAGAAAGGCTCGAATCTGGATCCCAAAATCCTGCAAGGAGAAGGTCTGGCGACGTAGCAGCATAGCAAAGCCCATATGCCATAGGGTGCATAGCAAACCTACATTTGCCCAACGCCAACAGCTGTCATTGGTCAGCTGTGCCCCCCAAAAGTGCACCACGAAGAAGATCCCTTAGTGGCGGCGGTTCCCTTGCCAACACCCTATTATTGCCCTTCGGCCTTTCCGGTGCCCACACCCTGGCGCTGAGGCTGCTGAACGATGCGCTCACAAACACCAAGCCGAGCGCCAAACAATCTATTGAGACACACGGTCGACAGGCAGATCTAAGAGCAGCGGGTATAACACTTCCACAAGCAGCCCCGCACCTTCCTCCGCAAGGACCAAGGTCCTCGACGCGGTAGAGCCACAGCAGGAACGAACCAGGAGAGCGACCAATGTCTAACGCCGCAGCCGGAAACAACAAAATTGAGGCGTTGGGTGTTTTCCCTTCTCACCGGTAGATCGATGACAATACTGCAACAAAGCGGGGCAAATACTGGGGCGACCCAGTCCCAACTTTCAGCCAAGCGGCCCACTCATTGGACCCCAACACGCTACCCTTTTGCGTGTTGATTTCATGTGGATGATTTCAGCGAGGCGTTTGATGTCCGGCGGATCGCAAACCCGTGTTGGTGTGAAGCGCCGGGTGAGTAGATAGTAGAGAGGCAAAGAGCTCAACATGCATGTTGACGCCCGTGGCTTCTACAAGGCCAGCCAGGACAAGTTCATCAAGAAACGGTTCGTTCTCGTCTCGACCGTAAAAGTGGGCAAAGTGGCCCGGTATGCAGGACTTGGCTAGTGAAGAATTGCGCAGCCGATGGGCAACAACCATTCTTGACGGAGCTGTTCCATCAGGTGCCAGCCTTCAAAGGCGAGGTGCGTCTGGCATCTTTGAAGTGCAACGCAAAGCCGTTGTATGATGTTTTGACTGCAGAGAATCGGTGTAAGAGAATTTTCTGCCAAAGGTCATTCGATAGGTGCCAGCATACCTGCAACGCTCAGATTGTTCGAGGAAGATGGATGCGAATTTCGTTGCCGTTTTCGCAAGTCACTGCAAAAGCTTTGGGCACAGCTGGTGGATGATAAAGAACTCAGACCAATGCGAAAGATGCAGCCCTGCAAGATCCACCATGGTCATCCCCCGTTGCTGAATGGGCACATCATAGCAGCGCGAATCGTGATCAGACAAACAACAAAAACAAGCAGGCAAAGCAACACAATTTTCCGAGAATAAAAATGAGAGCCACAAGAACAAAGGAAGGGCGTGAAGAACAGCAAAGATGCCATGAAGGGCTACCAGAAGGGTGGCAATAAAATAGCAAGGTCAGTGACGTTGGTGCGGTATTGCGCGTTGGACTGCAATACCCTGCTGCTTTACTTGGCTGAAAAGAGCTCCGGTGTAGATCTTTGCAAGAAGATGACCTACCATGGGCCATGGGATTAACCAGGCCACATCCGAACACATAACGATTTGGAGCTGACATTTTGGTCAAGATGTGGAAGTCAAACTCTTTGTTGGTTCGCACGTACTTCATTTCCTGAACGACTTTAACACTTGATATGACATTTTGTTTGAGCCATGCAATGCGGAATGTGCAGGAACTGGTCTCCTTTCCAGACCTTGATACAGTAACACTGGCATAGTTTAGAGTGGGAGCGGTAGTTCAGTCAAGTAAGCGCCAGAGAGGCTCCCTTGAGGATTTTTCAACAATTTTGTTGCTTTCAGCTTAGTCAAACATGCCAGGAAGTGAAGGCTGAGGTCAAGGCCATGAGCGCAGGTCCATTTGTGCCGAACAGTTTTGAAACTGCGCTTTGAACCGATCTCATGCATTTGGCATGTTGCACTGTTGCACCTCATGCACACTAACCTGTCAAACTATGTGTTGAATTGTTCTGCGCACCTTGTAGTGACAGCAGGTGGCACGTCGCGAATCCAGGAGACCGTGACAGAAAAAGTTCCTGAGTTTGGCAAGGATGTGGAACAAACTCAGAAACAATTGAATTTTTACACTGAACAATCACTTGAGCACCGGGTCACCAGGACTTTTCATGGGCCGTGGGAGCAACGCCGTTGATTTTAGCAGTGCAGTCTGCAGGCTGGTCCCTTTTTGCATCGATCGGCAATTTCTTATGTCCACACATTTTTTTTCACAGAGCTCTTCAGCCTGAGCCTGTGACGAGATCTTCATACTCTTGTATCTTCCGCTGTCTACACACGCTAATGTACCGCCTTAGTATACAACACAATGGCTTCGACCATTGGCTCTGTTTCCGCACTTTAAATCGGCGTTGTTTGTGGGTTTCTTGAAACCTTTCCTTTTGAGCGCAATGTGGTCCAAAAATGCTCATAGTCGTACGCACATCTGCGGCGTTTCTGCTGAGGCCGGGGAACTCTTGGAGCTGGTGACCAGGCCTTGCCGCATTTAGGAAATCAACAGACTCAATAGACGACGATATGTGTTAGAATTATAGATGCTGTTGGAAAGGTAGAGCTACATCCTGTAATCGCAGCATGGTATCAAACTTGCTTTTTCAAAGACCATTCGCTGGGAGCCGCTGGCTCGAGAATCGCCGTTTCGATGGTCTGTGAAGACGAATCATCGCATTGTTCCCTCAAAACATGCGGATGTATATATTTCAACCCTGAACACTTCGATTGCCAGATGTGTTAGAATGAGTGACGAGTGAACTTAAAGTACAGTTTGGGCGCCTTTCGAGTGATTTTCCAACTCCTTTTCTACTCCGCTTCTGTATTTCGACGGCTTGTATTTCTGCTGTCCGGAGCTCATTTGCTTTGGGCCTTTTGTGCCAAGTGCCAATTCATGGAAGCACAGTTTGGTAGAAGAACGCTGATAGAGCTCAGAGACTACACTTATACAACATGCGTATTTGTGAGTCCACGCTGTCACCTATGAACCAAGAATTACACCGCCGTAGACCCCAAACAGTGTTGTTTTTCAAACGGAACACTCTGCAACTAGAGTTTGCGACATCCAGAACTGGGAGACAAAGGAACGCAAGGAAGAGGTGGAAATAGCAGGAGAGCTGGGTATATACAGCAGTCTAGAGCTGGGAGACAAATGCAAAGGATTGCACACAGCAGTCAGATGGGAGACACATGTAAAATTAAGGATTGCAAGGCAGAGGCAGACACAACAGCCCAGAGCTGGCAGACAAGTGCAAAGGATTGCAAGCCAAAGGCGGACACAGCAGCCCAGAGCTGGGAGACACATGTAAAGGACATGCAGGCCTGAGATTAAAGGAATAGAAATGCTACATGGCCAGCGGACAGTGACAGACCTGCAAGAAATGAATAGAAGTGCCACATGGCCAGCGTAAAGGGTGGGAACACCAGCAGTGACAGACCTGGGAGACAAATGAATAGAAATGCTACATGGCCAGCGGAAAAGGGCGGACACCAGCAGTGACACAAAGGGCGGACACATCTTAAGAAACAATTGAGAACCCCTAACAGTAAACTGTTTGGGGAAAAAGTGATGGTGGAGGAGGAAGAAACCAACGGCCTGACAATAAGACCCTGAGCACCCTCACTGACTTGGGGCCTCCTGCTCTTGGCCCTTCCCTTGTGCCTCCAGAAACCTCATCATTTTAATGCATTAAGGTGAAGGTGATTTGGCCTACAAACGTAAGGAAAATCCACGGCGGCCGTGTCTGACTGGGCCCCTTCGGTTCACCCTTGATTTGTGGCTCGCCTATGTCCCCTTAATATATTTGTACAAGACAGAGACAGCCAATTTTATAAGCACCACTTATTTTATGTGTGTAGAAATTTCTTTATAAGATTGAAATAAGTGGTGATGGCCATTGAATTTTAATAAGATAGAAAAAACACACAACGCAGACGACTGCTTTTCCTCTTGTGGAATCAGAGTTGTCTCTGACCCGTGTTTGAGGCAATGTCGCTCTGTGATTTTTGGCAGCTCTTCACCTGCCAAGGGTGGGTGCCCAAATTAGGGGCCAGTGCACAAAGATGGAACTCAAAGTGCCAAGCATTTCTGAGGATTCTGGACCATGGCTCGGAGTTGCAAGTATGTGAGGCCCAATCTGGATGGCTTTGAGAAACAGTGGGAGTGCGTTGAAACACCAGAGATGCTCTTGCAAAACCTTTGCTGGGTTTCAGTTGATTTGCTGAGCAGCCCAAAAATCGACCGAGTGAATGGTTGACTCGACTGTATTAGGTGGGCATGCGAGATACAGAATTTGCAGGAGTCTCAGACTTCAATGGCAACTTACTTCGATGGCGGATGTGATGCAGCAGTAATGAGTCTTTTGTTATCCATCATTGTGTCAGATTCTCCAAGCATCTCTGGGTATGCTGTATACTGTATACAAAGGTCAGGCAACATGTTTGCTGGCCAAACTGAACATGACAGCAAAGGCACTCAAACGCTATATTGGTATGGCCATTTCAAATAACTGCCCAACACTAAGACTAAGACTATAATGACTTCTCTGGATAATGCGAACATGCAGCTTGTCCTGGAAACAGGTACTTTTCCGCACACGTCTACTCGCTGTTGTTCCACAAACTAGTTTTAGGGCCTTGCAAAGGGTTCTTCCAGAGGCTTCTCACATAGCAAATGTGCAAACTCACAGATCATTTTCAGTGTACAACTGTTTACACAGGAGTTCCTCCGTAAGTTCATCTCGCTTTCCACATTCGTCTCTAAAGAGCGGTCTTACGCCTGAGATGCTCGTTGCGCCAACCAAGAACAGGTTCAGGCTTTCTTATGACGTGCTTTGTGAGTCTTCCATAGACCGAAAGTGTGTGCAAACACAAACGGCTTTCTGCAGTGGGCTTTTGTAGACGTTTCGATCGTGCTGCAAGCTTAATCTCCCAACATCTGCAGCATGCTGAGGTTGTTCATCCAGCGAAAGAAGCTGCAAAAGACAACTTCTTGGGAGCAAAGGCATGGTTGGAAAATGGATGAATAATGGCATGGGAACTCCAAGTTTGAACACCGACCATACTGACGATGTCCATTTTTTGGGGACAACCCTGAGGCAATCCAGACTGTGTAAGCTAAGTGGACTGTGGTTCCTCCATCTTTGGTAGTGCAATTGCAGTGGAACTTCTGGATATGCTGAAGCGTTTCAATGCTCAAAATAGAATGCAGACTTCTGGCAAGGGCAACTTTCAAAGAAGGTAAACAGCCTGCCAGAAAACTTGGAATCCAATGCTCATAGATGACCTTTGAAACTCGTTTTCGACATGCTGTTCAGCTTGGGCTGGTGCTAGTGCCAACCAGCGTTTCTTCTGGATTTGTTCATTTGATGCCACAGCCGTGGCATTCTTTGCCTAGTTTGGATGCCGGCCTGGAGCGTGCAGCTCAGGCCGAATATGAGTTGGGTGTCCAGGCTTGGAACCTGAGACAAGCAGAGCAAGGATTGGAATTGTTTCTCCGGAGTGCCCAGAAAGGCTATGAAGTCGGAGAGTACTGCTTCCGCTACGGCATGTACCATGAATTTCCACCTTCAGATATGCAGCAAGCGTTTCGCTGGTACAAAAGAGGAGCGCGCATGAACCACAAAGGTTCAACGACAATGCTGGGCAAGCTCCATTTGGCAGCTGGTCAAAGGGACCAGGCTATGCATGTCTTGCAGCGTACAGCTGTGCCAAATCGAGCCTTCCGTACAGAAGGCCATGGCGGTCAAAGAGGTGATTCTTTAGCGCAATGGTTTTTAGGAGAATTGTTCTTGCAAAGCGCGAAGCTTCGAGATGCTGTGAAATGGTGGAAGCTGTCTGCGGAGAACGGAGATATTGATGCCATGATGCGCCTGTCACAAATCTTCAAGGATGGTGCAGTTGGAATTCCTCAGGAACCTATGTTGTCCCGCCATTGGCTGTTTGCGGCTGCTGCCCATGGGCACAAGGACGCACTTGATCATGTGAATTGGGCTGCAACGTTGCGCCCCCGTGCGGAGCAAAAGTGGATTGACTTGATGGAAGAATATGGCTGGATCTGAGGTTTTGCGGCGTCGCAAGCCTGACTCAACAAGTCAGTTGTTTCACAAGACAGGTGTCATTGAGGCAAAGAGGAAGCTGGGCAAGAGGAAGGGCAAAAGAGTCTAGGAAGGGCAAGAGGGGCCACGTTTTAACTTCGATCTAGGAAGCAAGGGTTCCTCAAGGAAGCTCCGCCGCCTGACCAACCCTAGCTTTCCTTGATATCCAGCTTTCCCTACCTCCTCTTAGGAACAAGGACGCTACTAGGGGCTCCTAGGAACAAGAAGCTACTAGTAACAAGTGCCACGCTAGTAGTAACAAGTGCCTTACTAGTAGTAACAAGAAGCTACTAGGAACAAGAAGCTACTAGGGTTGTTTTCTGCGTCACATGAATTCACCATTGGCGTGGCCACGGCGTGTCGCACAGGTGACGCCACAGAGGTCCAGGAGCACTGAAGAAGGTTCTGAAAGGTCGAGAATTGCAAGCGGGCCCCGTGCTTAGGTGTTAAGACGTGCATGTCACATGTTATAACGTATATAGTTATAGTTGTAGTATGTTATATTTATAATTAGGCCGTCTCTTTTTACACAGGAGAGCTTCTTGGAAGCTTTGCTAAACGCACAAAATGATGTTTATCATTGACTTCAGTTGACTTCAATCAACTCACTCAGAAACCAACTTTGAAGCTGAAGCAAGCCTGTGGACTTGCACTGAGGAGCTCTGAGGCTTCTGGCCGAAGCTTTTTGAAAGAGTGGGCCTTGGTCACCCAAGCAAGATTCCCACAAAGATTCACAGCATGGCGCATTTTCGCACACGCTTCATTTATGCAAGCTTTAGTAGCTTGCAATAGGGTGTGGCGAGTGATATTTTTTACTCGGCTGTGAGGCTGCAAGCTGGGAGGAAAGCCAGGGCCGGAATTCGTCCTGAAAGACATGAACATTTTATATAGTAAGACTTGTGATGACCTTTAATGATTCGGTGATGCTTTTGACCCAAGCAATTGTTCATTTTTGATGAACCATCCAACACCTTAAAGAAACGTCCATTCTTCACCACACCTCAGGACGATCAGGATGACCTGCCGCCTCGCGACAAAGAAGCAGAAGAGCGAGAGCGGCGCAAGCTTGAGGAGGAAAGGTAGAGTTGTTTGAAACACAACAGAAAGTAGCAAACACAAGCAAGGATTACTTGCAATGGAAGCAACAGAGCAGCAATAAAACAAGAAAGCAGGGCAGCAAACACACCGCAATGAAGAGCGATCCTCAATTTGCAAGACTGAAGACAACTTGCCTTTGGCCTTTGGCTTCTTAGACCCTCCTCCCTCACATGACATCATGAGTCTTGATTTGCAGCGTTCAATTCCTGGAGAGATTTGTGCATGAGGAAGAGGCCCGATTGGAGCGCCGTGCTGCAGATAATGCAGCCCGGGCTGAAGCAGAGCGGCGCAGGACCTTCAAGACAAGTCACGATCGTTGCTTATCCAACAATCATCAATCCGATGCACGATGAAGATAACAATTGATTGGTGTTTGAGACCAGGATATTCGCGGAGTTCCTGGAGAGTGAGCGAGTCGTGGCAAGGCTGGAGTTGAAGACAAAGATTTGACATGATTTTACACATCATTCTGCCCTCCTTGCATTTCAGACTCTGATTTCACAGGTTCCTGCGCCAACATGGCTTTCAAGGAGTGAACTGCACCCTTCTCAGTCTAGCAGACTCCTTTTGTGTTGAAGACAAGTCAGCTGCTTAAAAACCCTTCTGCATTTAAGGCCCGAAACGGTACATGCTTGGGCGTCACATGTACCCTTTGCACAAAGCCGCCGACATGGGCCATGCAAGGCCACAGGGTTTAACTGGTGGATACATAGAAGTTTACGGACAATCTGCATCAAGATTAGGACTTAAATGGTCAATTCAACAAGTTTCTTATTTGGATTGAAGATGTTGAGACATAGGTTGGCGTTGTGGTTTGTGTTGTTACACAAGTTGACTTGAAGCCCATGGGGACTTATATAGCTTCATTTGAGACAGTGGATTTGCTCATTTTGCTGCTAGGCTTGTGCGCATGCTACTGCGCGAGGGTGCCATTCCGCTGCCTGGCCTCGTTTCATTTGTTTACTTTGTTCTGGTTGAACTACTGAACTTTCAGTGCTTTTGTCAATCAAGCTCTTCTGTGCTGGTCCTGGGCTGACTTTCTGTTTGTATTTATATATACGTGTATATATACAGCATATATACTCATCACGAAAGCTGGCTCTTTCTAGCTGGAGTTGTGTTTTGCTTAAGCAACAGCTTGGTGCCGCGTGAAAATAACACACGATATTTCAATATATTTCAGACTTCTACCTGCGGGGTGCACATCCTGTCGGGTCCTGGAAGTTGGAGGTAATGAAGATGCTAGTAGCAAGAAACATGACGATGCTATCAGCTGCTAGATGCAGGGACAGCGACTTCCCAGGTCACCTGTGGTAAAACCTCACCACGTGACCAGTGGTTAAAGCGAACACAATATCCTTGATAGGAGCATTGGAATACAAAGGGTGACAAACATTGCACCAGCGTTGACAAGCACAGATTCACAACTGTCAAAAACTACCCTTGGACAAAACTCAAAAGTTCACTGGCAGCAAAACATTTGCTTTCGCCGACCGCAACATACCAAGAGCTGCGTGGAAATGCCACCATCTCACCTCTGGTAAACGGTGCAATCTTGCCTTGCAGGAATTTGTAACAACTTGCCGCTTCACGAGAGCGTTGAACATGTACTACACCAGCTGTGCGAATGCACTGCACTAGATCTCCACCAAAACGCACATTTCGTGGACAGACAGACAGTGAAAACATATCAGGCAGGAACATACAGCTTCACGAGCGGTAAAGCTCCACCACAATACAGGCGGTGAGCGTTTACTTATCCTCAAGCTGCTTGAATAGCCTAGAATTCTACCACTTGAACTTCAGAAACGGTCACCAGTCGCACTCATTGCATGCAGATTTATCGCATTTCCAACGGGACTGTGTGCAAAGAGACTGTGCGCAAACGATGCATGAAAATGGTCCTAGTAGGCCTCACTCTAGTTCATTATTGGGTCTGTGGAGTGCTTCAAAGTACAGATCGTGGACCCTGTTGTGCTTAACAGTGAACCTGTTATACCTACTCTTTCTTCCAAGAATTGAGGCAAATGTTGGATTCATCCGGGAGAACGGCAGCGGCGGTGGTGTTGCTTGCGTGCTTTGTACTCACTTTGACCAGCTTGGGTGTTTCTTCAACAACAAGGTCCAGGTGTTTCACATTCAAGAGCGGCTCCCACCGTTTGGTTTTGAGAATCGGATAGAGCTAGGTTGAGCGCCAGGCACTACGCCGTGATCGAAATGGCTCTCATGCTAAGGCGCAGATCCGACTTGGCCAGTTCAAGAAAGACTCCGCACATCGCAAAAATATGTATATATACAGTATATATATATATATGCACATATTATATGTTACATACGTTTGCAAGCATCACAGGTAATTGCAGCGCTGACGGCTCCATCTGCCGCGGTTTCCTCACCGCAGGGCTTTCCTCCTTGAGGCCGAACTATCCATGCTGGTGCTGCAACATCGCCAAACAAGCATGTTTATGTCACAACATGTTGCCACTATGTTTTTGTGTTGCCATATACTGGTTTGTCGCAGGGGATCTGAGCAGAAGACCAAGAACGCAGATTCGATCAAGAGCCTTTATTCCATACTTTGGAGCCGAGACATTCTGCAATTCCCTGAAAATAAGTATGGTCACGATGTTGTATGCAAGTACCCTGAAGCTCTGATCAGCCTTTTGGCACTCCTGGATCTAGGTGGACACTAAAGCGTGAGACGGACCCCCAGAATAGTGATTGTATCAATCTCACATGACACACTGTGCAGTCCTCATGTGTGCAGCCAGGCTTAGCGAAGATGCTTTTCCTTCCGATAGTCATCGCACGATGCATGATCAGATTGAAATGCTGGGAATCTTTTGACGAGAAGGCTTAAAGCAAGAACAAACATGTGAACAAAACTGGAGCATGGAGAGAAGCCTTGTGCTACCCACAGATTGTGGTCTGCATCGCATGCGATGGTAGACCTTGGCGTGCTGTGTTTCTTCAGAGCCCCAAGGTTGCTGTGTAAAATAGAATGTTTGCCAGCGGCGATCCTCATAGCTTGGGGATGTAGAGTGTGACAGTGCATCAATCGCAGCAACCACAAGCTTGATTCAGCACACGTAGAAACTAGATGCAGCTACAGTTACCAGTTGTATGAGAGTCATTCAGGCTTGCTGGGAAAACTGCGCGATGCGCACAAACGGTGAACTAAAGTTCCTCTTGGGCTTGACCCCTGTCGTGCAATCCGGCAACTTTGGCTCCATTTACTCCACTCTCCATTTTATTTGCATCTTGCCATTGGACCAAGAGCACTTGTTGTTCTTTCTGAAAGACACTAAGTCGATTTATATCGGGTCAAGATTTGGAGTGTCATTATTCCTCATCAAATAAAGCATACATCTGGAGGTGATCCTGAATGCAGAAATGGTGGCATACAAACTGACGACACTGGTGCCAGAGTTTTCGGGGCTTTGCCGGAGCCTGACAGCACGAAGCCGTGTACAGATTGGAACCTTGCCATAGTTACTTTGCCAACCGGGCTTTGCCAACCGGGCTTTGCCAACCGGGCTTTGCCAACCGGGCTTTGCCGAGCTTGCCATCGCGGAGGGACCATCTGGCCAGCTGGCCTCCGTAGCCTCCGGGGCCTATGCCTTTTACTGTGCAGAGCCTACCACATTGGAAAGCTCAGGTCTTTGGGTCTTTGTCGTCTTTGAGTTTGGAATTTTGAGAGGAATCACGCTTTGGTCCTGGTATAAAAACCAAAGGGAGCCATGTGCCAGGGCAGCGCACAGGAAAAAGACGAAGAAGAAGAAGAAGAAGAAGACGAAGACGAAGACGAAGACAGACGAAAGAAAAGATCCAGGAAAACAACGAAGAAGAACAATAAATTCTGGGTGACTGCTGCTAGCTGAGCTTTCGTCTCCAATGCTCTCATTGCATTGGACACATGATTTGATTCTGGCTGCACGACTGCAAAGCCGTAATGCTGACATGAAGGCGGTTTCGCTTGGCAGGCTGTTGATACCAGTGCTGTAGCTTGACCAATATTGAAGTATCAAGTTGCTTCATTCGATCACCTTGGTCTTTGTTTTCATTCTTTTGGGCTTGATTTGCCAGCTTGCAGCCTTCAGTGTCAAATGGGGCTGCGTTTGGGCAGCCTCACGATGAGGCAATGGCATAAACTTCGGCTTGGCACCAGAGACAAGACACTTCAATTCGAAGAAAAGCTGATCTTCAAATTGCAAGAACAGCATAGAATGATCACACCGTGGATGTGGAGTGTTGTGCTTCCTACAACCGCCCTTTGTTGACCCCGAGATCGGCTGAACAGGTTTGTAAAGACAGCTGTGCGTACAGTGAAGCCTTGAATCAGAGCAATCTTGGCCACGCTACAGCTTGAAGCTTCCCAGGCGACATGTCCAGGGAATCTAAGCAACACTCCTTTCATCGCTTGAAAAGAGGGATCTCAGGCATCTCAGGGTTGAACCAGGAGTGTCTGCTTGAGCCTTTCAATTTTGCGCCCACAGAACTGTGAGGAAGGCTCGGAATTCTGGCGATTGCTTCGAGAAGTGCCGTCAGGCTGCAGCTAAGGCTGTGCAGCTGCTGTTGAGCCACAACGCCAACCCGGAGGAGTGAACATCAGATCAAACATGTCACGTGCGACACACGGTTGTATTTATTGTCATCACGTTGTATTGTATTGAAATATGTTGTAATTGTATGGTACATTGTATCGCGTTGTCACGATGTGTCATTATGTCAAGTTCCAAGACTCGGCAACTTGTGGCAAGTCTGTTAGATGTTGAATCGACCTTTGGCCGTATTTCTCCAATTTCCACCATTTGTACGCTTTTGGCTCCGGATTAGGCCCTTTCTGGCGCAGGGGAAACTGCTCTGCATGCGGCCAGTCGCTGTGGTTTGCGGGAGGTGCTGGGGCACACTTGAAACACTGTTTGAAGATAGAAAAGATTGTCATTTGGCAGCTGACAAATCACGGCCAAACCGTGTGTAAACTTATCTGGAATGATTGCTGGCAGGTCGTAAAAGCGCTTCTTGAGGGCAAGGCCAACCCTTTGCAGCGAAATGCTCAAGGCAGTGAGCCGACTAGCCTGAGCATAGTATAGCGCAATAGATTTCGATGTTGGCAAGTGCACACTTTCAGCGTTGTGGATTCCAAAGAGGGAGAGCGACATGCAATCGAATCAATATATATATACAAATCATAGTGTTTTTGTCAATCACATTCAGAACCTCCCGAACAGTTCTTTTGGCCAACTTCTTGGCACTGATTTGTACCCCTGGCATTCTCTGTCCTTGAGGCGACCTTCCTCATGCCGTAGCACAGCGTGCCGGCCGCCCGGAATGCGCTGAGCTTCTCAAGGCAAATTGAGAACCAAGACTGCTATTTTCAACTTTGCATCACACTCTGAAGCTTTACTATGCGATATCAAAATCTCACACACGATTGATGCAGATCATGGTACTTCATATAGCCGCCATAGCCAGTGCTTCAGCAAAAATATGATGCTGCTTTGCCTTATGGGTAAACTTCCGGAACCCGATTTGGGTCTGCAGGTGTTGGCACCGCAAGAGAGTGCGTCCGGGCCAGTGAGGGACCCAGTGACCGGGTGTGGATCCCGAAAGGGTTTTGGACTCTACACCATCGCATTGGTGGTAAGAATGGCTGTGTATAGCTGCTGCTTGAAAAAGATATGCCAGGATATAGACCAATTTTGCGAGAGCTTGATAGATCTATTTGAGCAACTGTATTTTCACTCCATGTAATATGTACACTTTTACCATGCACATATGTATAGGATGTCATTGCACTTACTTCTGCAGCTCGCGGTCCAAAAGGGTATCGTAGCTTAACGGCTGTTTCTATAGGTTATCAGACGTAGTGCTCTAACCACAGCCATGGATACTCTCGCTCTCCCAGGGAATGCCACATCATCAGTCGCTGTGCCAGCCGGTCTCGCGACTGAGCCCGTGTAGATCTAGATGATCCCATGGGTTCGGCCCCGGTAACGGCATACTTCCAATTCGTTCAGCAGAACACTCAGCAGGTATACAATGGCAACGAGGGTGCCATCATCACTGAGGCTGAACGAAGGCACAAGGAGGTATTAGCACAATGGATGGACACGGTAAAAGCCAAATTCCACCAGGCGATTCTTGAGGTAGAAGGCAGACACCATGAGGAGGTTAGTTCAGTGAAACAACAAGCCCAGTCTAGCTATGACAAGTTGCAAGCAGAGCTCAGCGCTGCCAAAGCACGCATCTTCAAGCTAGAAAATGACAAAGCATTGGAAGCTGAAGCGAAGAAAGCAGAGATGGATTCTTTCCGTACACAAATCACGTATGAGTGTCAGCAAACAGTGAATGCGATCACAGAGAGTGCTGAACAAGGTGTAGTGAAACTTCGCGCAGAGTTCGATGAACGAGAGCTCGAACTTCAGCGTGATTTGAAAGAGGCAGAAAATGAAAACTACAGCCTACAACAAATCATCGATGACTTGAGGGCTGACAACAAAGTCACTGACGAGCCAGAGTATATTCCAACAAGCGCAGCTGCTTCGCCGATAGTAACACCTAGGCAAGGCGAGCATGAAAAGAAAGGTGCCTTAGAGACCATTGCAGCAGAGGCTAGTGCACGTTTGAGCGGGTTGTTTGGACCCGTGATGCCCCAATTGGGGCAGCCGCTCCAATCAAGCCGGGGCTTCCAGTTTACGGAGGTACTGCAGTAGATGGTGGCAAGACACCGACTCACATATTTCACAGCCCTGCACCTTCAATTCGAGCCTCGTCAGGCGCTATCACCTCTGAGCAGGTGATTGAACTGGTCAAGTCACTCACTCAAAGAGAATCGGATGAGAAGCCAAAGGTCAAGGAAGCAGATCATATCAAGTTGAATGATATGCCAACCCCTGAAACCTACCGGCAATGGAAACATCATGTGAGGGACGAAATCAAGTCATGTTCTGACAAACCAGATGCAGCCTGGGACTGGTTAATGGAGGTTTACAACACTGTTGATGAGAGAAAGGTTCTGGAAGAGCGGTTGTCAAACCCTGGTAAGTTCACAACGTTGGATACCAAGTTGGCGGCCGCATTGAACAGAAGTGCCAAGGGTGACCTAGCTAACCGAATCATCAATTACAAAGAAGAGAAGGCAAAGCTAGGCATCCAGGTTCGTGGAAGGATGATTCTTCTCATGTTTGATGACTATTTCAAGACCTCAGAAGAAGCAGGTAGCCTTTATTTACAGGGTTGAAGATCTCCTCAATGTGGTGAAGGTAGGCGACACCGTGGCGGATTTGAAGCGCTTCATCAATCGCTGGGACGCTACCATCGCCGGTATGCCCGAACCACCGCACGAAAACGTGCTTCGGGACATCCTTTTGAGGCAGATCCGAACTAGCGCAATCTTATCGATCTGTTTGATCGCGCAAAAGAAGGTGACCATCATCGGTCTTACAAGTTCCTACTGCAAAGCATCAAGGATTTGATAGATCGGGAGCGCCTTCGAGAGAACCGATCACGCATTGCTGAGCGAAATCGGCTCAAGCCAGGTGACCGACATGAGAAGAATGCAGCCCCAACAGTTGATCCTCGGCGAAAGCGTTCACCGTCGCGTGGGCGGCCAACATCCCGGGAGAAGGGAATTTGTTGGGCCTTTTTGGAGGGTAAGTGTGCAAAAGGGAAGGATTGCAAGTTCAAGCACGAGAAGCCCAAACGTGACCCTTCCAAGAAGCGTCAACCATCTCGGGAGCGGAATGAGTCGAGGGACAAGAGCACAGACAAAGAGAAGAAGCGTATGACTAAGGAAGAGATGGCAAGGACCCCATGCAGGTACGATCAACAAGGTACTTGTAGGAGGGGAGACAAGTGCTTTTTCGAACATGGAGAAAAGGCAGCGCCGGCTCCGCCACGGAAGGATTCCCCAAAGCCAGGGAAGGCCGAGCAGCGCATTGGAGGAGCTTCGCCAACTATGCCATGACAACCTCTCCGCAGCCAGGCGTGACGTGGTCAACAAGCAGACTCAGGAGCAGTGCCAGCAGCAAGGCAAGGGCAAGCGCAAGTCCTCTACCGGAGGTGATGGAACCCCAGCTTCAAAAGCCAAGGGAGCTCCGCCACCCTCACCGGTGAACCCACGTGCATCCGGATCAGCATCGTCCTCGTGGGGATGGAGCTCATGGAACTGGAGCGAGTGGGGTGAGCAGTGGCAGTGGGACCGCCGCTCACAGGACTGGAGCTCGAGTCAGAGCTGGTGGCATCGGCGATAGTTGAGCCAAGTCTCAACGCTTTTGCTTGAGCGAGCATAATTCATTGCATGACATCCATTGTCAATATGTATGCGGTTTTCCTCCCAAGTCCAAACTTTCAACTTTCTTTTGGCGGCGGGGAGTGAATAATTAAAATGCACGTACAGGGCCACGTTTGGCAGTGGATTGCTAGCATCCACACATGCCATGCTGCGACGAGCCGACATCACTGTCGTGCCCTGCACCAGCCCTCGTGCACTTTCCGCGTCCAGCTTCAGTAGCAAAGCTACCTTAGCTGAGGGGGGTGTATTTTCACTCTATGTAATATGTACACTTTTACCATGCACATATGTATAGGATGTCATTGCACTTACTTCTGCAGCTCGCGGTCCAAAAGAGTATCGTAGCTTAACGGCTGTTTCTATAGCAACCGCCAAAACGCGCGACGACGAATTTGGCAAAGAGCGGGCATGAATTTCAGACATTTGGCTAAACCTGCAAAACTCATAACCCCCCCCAGCTTTTGGACGTGTTTGGCTATGTTGACATTGTGGCTTAATCCAGCAAAAGTGATGGGCCCCACGCAAAAACAGGACCATACGCCTGCACTTTTTAAGTTACCCCTGCACATTTTTTAAAATTTCAGCTATGTTGACATTGTGGCTAAAACCTGCGAAAGCGATAGGCCCAAAAGCGATAGGCCCCACCCAAAGCGATAACCTTGCTGAATCTTGTCCTTTGCTTTTGACGGTATGTTTTGCCCATTTGAGGTGGAGCTACTTGACGAAGAAGAGGCGGAGCAAGCCAAACTCAGCAGGTGGGGGGGAGTTTGCATTGAAACCCGGACAAGGCCTGTATTTTCACAAATCGCCAGGGCGAGAGAAAAGCGGCGGGAGAAAAAGAGCTTGGGACTAAGCTGCAGGGATCCAGTGAAGACTCGCAGGAGCAGTAGATGGCATTGTTTTGCCAAATGCTTCTTGGCATTTTCCATTGTCCCTAGGTCGCCAGCGCGAAAAGCGTGCCGGGACTCCTGATCAGGAAAAGAGTGAGAAGGCTGGACTTCTCTCCAACACGTTGAGGGGCGCAAGGACTCTTGGAATTTGGATTATCAACGCCAGATGTCTGGTGAACGTGGACCTGCCAGCAAGACTAAAGTTGTGGATGTCTGGAAATGAACAACTGGAATCGCAAAGCAAAGATGACACAAGGCAGACTTTTTCCCCAATCAGTTTACTGTGGGGGTTCTTCCCCAAACAGCTGTTGGGGTTCTATCTTAGAGCTGGCCACATTGACTGGCCACGCCCCTGCACTCTGTGTCCGGGCTCTGTGTCCGGGTCTTGTTCTCCTCTTGTGCTTCTCTTGTCCTCTGGCCGCGCTGACCAGCCCTGTGTCCTTTTCTGGTCCTTGTCTTGTCCTGCTGTTGTCCTCTTGTCCTTCTTTTGTCCTGCTGTTGTCCTCTGGCCGGGCTGACTTGTCCTGCTGTTGTCCTCCTCTTGTCCTGCTGTTGTCCCTTGGCCGCGCCGACCAAGTCTGTGTCCTTGTCTTGTCCTGCGCTGACCAACCCTGGTCCTCCTGTCCTGCTGTTGTCCTCTGGCCACGCTGAACAGCCCTGTGTCCTCCTCGTGTCCTTCTCTTGTCCTGCTGTTATCCTCCTCCTGCGGTTCTCTTGTCCTCCTCTTGTTCTGCTGTTGTGCTCCTCTTGTCCTTGTCTTGTTCTGCTGCTGTTTGTCCTCCTCTTCTCCTTCACTTGTTCTGCTGTTGTTCTCCTCTTGTCCTCTGCTGTTGTCCTGCTGTTGTCCTTCTCTTGTCCTCCTCTTTCTGCCTGACCTTGTAGCCAGAGCTCCAGAGAGACAGTGACAGCTTCACTTCTTGAGGCGTCTCGAGTTCAGTGAACTTGTCGAACACAGATGACGACAACGACCGCGTCCTGCATGAGCGCGCATCCGCTGCGCGCGTGTGGCACAGGGTTCGTTTGGGAGGTAGCGAGGGCAGATAGAGGCAATTTCAGGGTCAGATTGCATTTGCCGTCGAAAGACAGAAAGAACGCAGGAAGGAAGGAAAGGAAAGAAACGAAAAGAACAGAACAGAACAAAACAGAAAGAAAAGAAAAGGAAAGGAATGGAATGGAATGGAGAGGATCCCCAAACAGTGTGGCCACACTATTGGTTCTTACGGCTGTCTGATCGGAGGTTCTCATCGGCGTGTCTGGCTTATTTGTTGCTAGTTATATTCCTTCACCTCAAGATCTTCGAAGTGCTTGTCTCGAGCTTGAATATCTTCGAGAGCGGGTACAGTACATTCAGTCACCTCGAGATTCATTTCTCCTTGAGCGGGCTCAGGCGCGAGTGGGTGTTCTTCTCGATTGTGCTCTCGTTGCGGCGCCTTCGCATTTTCGGGCTTGGTGGTCACTCTCATGGCAGGTGCAAGGGAAGCCTCGTTTTTGATGGTCCAAAGTCGGCTCAGGAGATCGGAGCGGTTTTACTTCGATGTGCAGATTTCGTGGCAGGCGCAGCACTTTGGACATGGTGGTGGTTTTTGGCGCGCTCTGTGTGGCTTGTTTCCAGACGTCGGAGGAAGTCTCGAGCCATTTTGATGTTGTCTTTGTAAGTGCTCTTGGTGCGAATCGCCGTGGCAGGGCTGCGAGATTTGAATCTTGATGCGCAGATTCCGTGACAGGCGCAGCGCTTTATGGACCTTGAAGTGCAGATTTCGTGGCAGGCGCGACCCTTTGTGGCGCAGCGCTTTGTGGACCTTGAATTGCAGATTTCGTGGCACGGGCGGCGCTTTGTGGACCTTGCAGTGCAGATTCCGTCTTGAGGTTCAGATTTCGCTGCAGGCAAAGCGCCTTGTCCACCTTGAAGTGCAGATTTCGTTGGCAGGCGCGACCCTGTGGCACAGCACTTTCTGATCTTTTTGGACCTTCAAGTGCAGATTTTGTGGCAGGTGCAGCGCTCTGCCAGCTACGCTTCACCTGCCTGGACATCTTTCGTTGTGTGTTCCAGTGGCCACAAAGTGACCCGGTTTTCTTCGCTTGCACGAAGAACGCCCTGGCCTCTTTCTGGTCAGGAGTTCGACTTCGATGTGTGCTGCGGAGCGCTCTGTTTGCTGGGCACTGGAAACATGACGTCAAGAATCTTGTACTGAGCTTGCTGCTAAGCCTTGCAGCCTGTGGTCTTCAGCGATTCTCAGCCCGCTTGGTTCAAGAGTCCTGACGACCTGTTGCAGTTATATACATATTCTTGGGCCAATGTGTTGGTTACCAGCTTGCTGCAGCTCACCGACCCTACTTTTTCCACAAGTTTCACGCATTGGACTGCGCAAACCTGATAGGTCTGAGTCCTCACTGCTGCTTTCGCGTTTCAAACTGTTTGGGGTCTCTTGCGGGAATATCGGAATAATTTTGTACAGAGTGATTTTGTTTTGTTCCCAAGACGAAAGGTTGACGCATGTTTACCCACAAAAGCTGTTCGTTTGAGGTCACCCTATCCCGCCTATCCCCTCCTTAGCTTCCATGAAGGACTGTTAGGCCATCTTGGACCCTGCAAAGGCATTAACAAGACCTACACGTTGTAGAATGAGTCCACCCAAACCTGCAAAGTGGACTTCAAGATTTAATCCCTAAAAAGTGAATTCAAGAGAGAAACAAGGCCGTGGTTTTTTGGTGTCTTTCATTTTTTATCCAATGCATTTGCAAGGTCTTTGGCGTGCTTCAACCTTGAAACACATCCTTGTTTTTTGAGCCTTCTTGGATGTGTTTCGGATTTTGGGTGCTTGGAATGCTGTTTCCACTTGCCTCCCACTGCTGTGTCTGTTGGTCCTCATTGCAACTGGCTATGCCAATTGAGGGCTATGGGATTCTCGGTCTTCCATGGTACCACAGGCGGGCAAAAGTTATGTGGAGAAGGAGCTGACTGGCGAGGTGCAAAACGAGCACTCTTACAGCTTACCCCATCACAAGCACAGCTGAATGTCCGCACTGAACGAACAACTCCCAGAGTTCTCACCTTATGTTTTCAGGAATCACACTATGTGTTCTCTGCCGGTCTTCACTTCCAGTTACTCCAGTTCTCAGTTCTTTCAATTGCCAGGCGCTGCAGAAACGGGTGACAGAGCTACGGCGGGAGAAAGCTCGCACCGCCCAGAAAGCCAAGCATTTGGCCAGGCAATTTGTTTTTCTTCAGTATATATATATATATTGAACCACACCTATATATCTGTTTTGCATTTTGTAAGAACCCACATGAGTTCAGCTTGCAGGTTCTTCTCCAAACTGTATTCCGAATATATATATATATATAATTGCCAAGAAAAAGCTCCCATTGATCTTGCACATATTGCAATGTCTCGTTTGTTGCACAGGCGAGCGGAGGAAGAAACCGCGAAAGAGCAGCAATGCTCTTCTCAGTTGCAGGAATTGAGGCCATAATTGCAAAGCTGCACTCTGTCAAAGCCAGGAAGGATATATAGCCGCAGGATGAACTTTGTTCAGGGGCAAGGCTTTGCTGAGGTTATGGTAAAAACAAAGGCTTCGATTTTGGTCCAAGTATTTCACTGGAGGCGTCGCAGCCAAGAGTTGAAAAGCATGTCTGGGAACCTGGGAGAGTGGAGCAGAGTGCATGTGTGATGAGTCATCCACGATGACTTGAAACAAGGAAGAGGGAACCGACTTTGCAAGTCTTCACATGTTATTCATACTTTGTCTCAGGTGTTTCTATAGAACCTCCAGTGTGGCCCTGGCACTGGTATTTTCTGTTAGGCACTTCGCAGACTTGAGTGTCAGGGTAGAGCCCCTTGAAGGCTTGTCCTCGACAATGAGACAAATTGAGTTGGAACTAAGAATTAAAAAAACGGCAAAACTATGTCTTGAGGCCATTGCTACTAGGTTGGAGGCCATTGCTATTAGGTTGGAGGCCTTCGCTATTAGATAAGAGGCATCGCTATAAGGTTGAAGGCAATTGCGACTAGGTTGGAGGCCATTGCTATTAGGTTGGAGGCCTTCGCTATTAGGTTAGAGGCATCGCTATAAGGTTGAAGGCCATTGCTACTAGGTTGGAGGCCATCGCTATTAGGTTGGAGGCCATCGCTAGTAGGTTGGAGGCCATTGCTATTAGGTTGGAGGCCATCGCTTTTAGGTTGGCGGCCATTTTGCTACTAGGTTGGAGGCCATTGCTACTAGGTTGGAAGTCATCGCTATTAGGCTGCAGGCCATCGGTATTGGGCTGCAGGCCATCGCCCTTGGGTTGGAGGCCATTGCTATTAGGTTGGAGGCCATCCCCATAAGGTTGGAGGCCATTGTTACTAGGTTGGAGGCCATCGCTATGAGGTTGATTAGGTTGGAGGCCATCGCTTTTAGGTTGGAGGCCATCTCCATAAGGTTAGAGGCCATTGCTACTAGGTTGGAGGCCATTGCTATTAGATTGGAGGCCATCACTATTAGGTTGGTGGCTATTGCTATTGGTTTCGAGGCCATCGCTATTCGGTTGGAGTACATCGCTATTAGGTTGGAGGCGATTGCTATTAGGATGGAGGCCATCGCTACTAGGTTGGAGGCCATCGCTATTAGGTTGGAGGCCATCGCTACGGTCGGTGGACAAAATCCTGCACCAGTGGAAGAACAAACCCATGTACACCCTCGCGCTCCCTGTTTATCATTGAGTGGAGGAAACATGTGAGACACAAAAAAGTTGAATGACCAAAATCCTGCATCACACAGACCAAACATGAGACAACATTGAATTGGGGGGTACGGGGGGTCCGCACTTTTCGAGGACCACATGCGTTGCTGTATTGATGCAGGATTTCGTCCATCAGTACTACGTTGAAGGCCCTCGCTATTCGGTTGGAGGCCATCGCTATTAGGTTGAAGTCCATCGCTATGAGGTTGGAGGCCATTGCTCCTAGGTTGGAGGTCATCGCTACTAGGTTGGAGACCATCGCTATTAGGTTGGAGGCCATTGCTATTAGGTTGGAGGCCATCGCTATTAGGTTGGAGTTGATTTCTATTTGGTTGGAGGCCATTGCTATTAGATTGGCCATTGTTACCAGAATGGAGGCCATCGCTATGAAATTGGAGGCCATTGCTAGTCGATTGGAGGCCATCGCTATTGGAGTGGAGGCGATTGCTATATAGTTTGAGGCCATCGCTATTAGGTTGGTGGCCGTCCCTATTAGGTTGAAGGCCATCGCTCTTAGGTCGGGGGCCATCGCTGTTTGGTTGAAGGCCATCGCTATTAGGTTGGAGGCCATTGCTACTAGGTTGGAGGCCATCGCTACTAGGTTGGAGGCCATCGCTATTAGGTTGGAGGCCATTGCCATTAGGTTGGAGGCCATTGCTAGTAGGTTGGAGGCGGTTGCTACCAGGTTGGAGGCCATCGATATAAGGTTGGAGGCCATTGCTATCCGGTAGGAGGCCATCACCATGCTCTAAGGTATGAGGCCATCGCTATTAAGCTGCAAAAAACATCGCTATTAGGTTGGAGGCGAGCCATGGCTTTTAGGTCGCAGACCATTGCTATTAGGTTGGAGGCCATCGCAATTAGGTTGGGGGCTATTACTATTAGGTTGGAGGCCATCGCTGGTTCGAGGTCATTGCCATTAGGTTGGAGGCCATCGCTATTAGGTTGGAGGACATCACTATCAGGTTGGAGGTCATTGCCATTAGGTTGGAGGCCATTGCTATTAGATTGGAGGCCATTGCTACTAGGTTGGAAGTCATCACTATAAGGTTGGAGGCCATCGCTACTAGGTTGGAGGTCATCGCTATCAGGTGGGAGGCCATCACTATTAGGTTGGAGGCCATCGCTATTCGGTTGGAGGCCATTGCTACTAGGTCGGATGCCATCGCTACTAGGTTGGAGGCCATCGCTATTAGGTTGGAGGCCATTGCTACTAGGTTGGAGGCCATCGCTATTAATTAGGTCGGGCCATCGCTATTAATTGGGTCGGAGGCGCGTGAGTGATGCTCAATGTCTTCAAGTTTGAAACCCCTCATTGTGATCGGAAACCTTCTCCCATCCTATCTTACTTTGCATGCTCCGGAGAATATGGGTTAGAACAAAACCACCACGGGAATGAACAAGTCTTCTTTGAAACTACAGCAGCATCAAGAAACAATATGCAGTCTACGAACAGGTTTCGCAGTGTCGTGAAATCTTAAAAAATTGGCTTGCCAGTCCAAAGAAAGGGGCAAGGCAATCATGCCATTTCATGTTTTCTCCTAGTGCAGAACGTTTTCCGAGACAGTTCCAGAGACACCTTTGCTGGGTCAAGTTCTTGCTTCATTGAGCGCAGCTCATATTTCACTGAACAAGACAGAAGAACGGTGGAGATTTGGGACATGAGGTTTCAACAGAAGAAGGCCGAAGCTGAGAAGGCCGAGGTGCTGGCCCATAGCACACGTTCACTGCAAAGTTTTTGAGTCAAAGGCACATTTAGGCATTTCATAGCTTCTAGTCTCCAAGCGTCTTATTTTAGTCAGAAGATGCTTTTGACCCTTTGCTCAGGCTGCAGCACGTGTGGCGGAAGAAAAAGTGAATGCATTGGTGCACCAGCGCTCCGAGATTCACGAAGAGGCCAAGCCACGCCGTGCTTCGAAGCTCGTAAGAGACAGAGGTAGAGGGAGAGAAGCACGCCAAAGCGTGCTATGGTTGTTGGAGGCCATCGCTATTAGGTTGGAGGCCATTCTTATATCCAAAGCGTGCTGCGTGCTATTCAAAACTTCAAGAGCCTGTCGTCCTGACTTTAGTGAGATCAGGCAGTGCCAAGATTTTATTAGGACTTGGTTTGGAAGGGGTAAGAAGTAAGAAGTAAGAGTCCTAGGACCTCCTAAGACCTCTTAATGCCTAAGACATGTGTGTGCTTTGAAGAGTACTGAAAACACTTCAAATTCTAGATCTTTGGGGGGAGCACTATACGTATGGAACGACATAGCCTGCCCAATGACTGCACTTCTTCCACGGATAGATCAAAGGCTGTTTGCAGAATGAGCTGAGTTGTCAATAGAGGACTCAAATGACTTGTGGATAGCGAAGACTCATGCAGGGTCCAGGCGAATAGCAATGCTACTGTTTATCTGGCTTTGTTCAAGTCCAACCTCGGACCCCAGCAGAATATATAGTGGATTGTACGTGGAAATGCAGATGTTTTTCCTATCAGCCACTCAGCCACTCAAGATCCTGAGTGGCTGAGTGGCTGACAGGAAGAAAATCCCGAGCGGCCGAGCGGTGGAGTGGCTGGTGTGGAGTAGTCGTCGTAGTAGTAGTATTAGTAGCACTACTACTACTACTACTACTACTACTACTACTACAGCAACCAGAACAAGAACAAGAACAACCACGACCACCACCACCACAACCACCACCACCACCACGTCGACGACGACTAGTACTACTACCGTTTTGACTACAAAGACGAATAGTGCTACTACTAACTCTGCTTCTACTACAACGGCTACTCCACACCAGCCACTCAACCACTCAGCCACTCAGGCTTTTCTTCGGGCACATGTCGCAAATACCGGTGTTGCGGCGGATCCATGCCCATGGACGGTGGTGATACATCGCAAAGAAAAACAAAGTGGATCAACCACGTCTGACATCAATATTTTCTAGTCTTCGATTTTGAATAGGAATATAGACAAAGGCCAAGAAATCACACAGTGAGTTTTAACACACCCCTGAACTAGGGTCAAACAGAAAGCTGCTAGCTGGGAGATTTGGATTGGTGCTTTCTGTGGCCAGTTCGTCAAGCGTAAATTGTTGACGTTAATGTAGTCAGTGGTGCAGGAGTTGCAGCTTTGTTTTTTTTGAATTTGCCACATGATCTTACCGTATGAACTTAAACGATACTAAGATATATGATAACAAGGGTGTTTTTTCTAAAGATCGCATTGCATAATTGGACACACCATTTCTAGCCATACACTTGTTGTTCCCAGTCAAGCTTTGGCTGGTGATGTTTTCATAAGGTTTTCCTGTAGAGGGAATGGTGATTGCAAATCCAACAATCTTCGCTAAAGGCAGCTGAATACCTGAAATCTGTCTTGAGAACACATCTAACGTGAATCAACGTGCAGTAGTTGGTATTGGGAGATCAGTCTATCTAAATCAGATGAATTATGCATAATAGGCTTTCTTTTTCCTTTATCTACGGTTTTGCTGGATGCAAAGGCAAGCAAACATTGCTACCAATATGACAACGCATGTTGTAAGAGCCATTATGAAAATTGGAAGAGCAAAAACAACACATACACACAACAGGCATGATATGCATAGCTAGTCTTTTTGATCTCAGGCTCTTGACAGCAAGATCAAAATCAAAATCAGTCATGAAGTCTGTCTGGCTTGGGATCGCTTTCTATAAGAGCTAAGCGTTTATCCTGGATATAACGTCCCCATAGTTATATAAGTTTTTGTAATTCATACCCTTTGGTGCTTTCCACTTATCTCTAGACTATATATTGGAGTTGATCGAAAACCCCGTGTAAGGAGTTTTATATAAAACAGCCTTTCAGACGTTGTTAGAACCATCCGCGAAAGATTCGCGATGAGGTTCGTGAAAGTATTATCTTTTCCGCGAAAGATTTATCGAAGGTCATCGCTTTCATTGTTTTCCTTCTACCGGACTGACAAAGAATAGACACGCAAGGCAATCCTCCGGCAGAGCCAGTGGGCGGAAGTGTCGCCATATGTCACAGACTAACGAACTGAAGCCTCAACATTTCCGTGCCCAGCCCTGGCAGTGCGTAAAGGATTCTCCGATTCCTGTCCCCACTGTCACAGACTAGCAATCTGGGTAGGCACAGCCCTGACAGTGAGGCAACGACCTGCAGCTGCTCTGACGGGCTGTGCAGATGTTTGCAAATGTTACGGCTTCCCGGGAAAGGGCCAGTGAAATTTCGCGAAAGATCCACGAAAGCTTCGCGAATGTGCCGCTAAAGTCTATAGATCTAGGTTCCCAGCTTGAGGCCTCCCAACATTCCCCAAGCTGCACCACCCTGTGGTAGCTGGCACGAGGATTGGGTTGAGTTGTGTCTGACTCTATTTGGCACAATTGTCGCACAGATGCTGCAAGTGACCCTGAGTAGCTGTGGAAACGTTCAACCATCTACTGGGGTCATGCTGCAAGATGTCTCTCCCTATTTTGTGATACTATGACATGTTCCGGCTCATGTTAGCTAGACATGGTTGTAGGACCATGCTTCGCGATGAGGCCGTGAAAGATCCGTGAAAGATATCTTTTTCCGCGATGAATGGCCATTCCAGGATGAAAGAATATTGATCAACCACCATACATATGGAAGTGTAACCTTATTGAATTGAAGATGCTGTTGCACTAACTAATTCATAGCGTTGCCTCAGTAGTTATAAACAGTAAACAATCCATTCAGGCTCCTCAGAATTCCACATAATTCAACAGTATGGTAATGTTAACTGTGCAGAAGCCCTCTGAATCGTGTGATATCTTGACTGATGCTCAGAATGGCCAAGTCAACATGTTAACTGATACGGATGAACATGTTACTTGATACCATCAGCAACGTTCAGATCGTTCAGCTCGGGCTTAACGACCGCATGGTCGCTTGAACCCCCAAAACTGCGGAACGACGAAGGAATCGCGAACTGCGCGCGACGACAAAAATCCCAAGAGCGCCACGTCGTCCGAACACGAGTCAAACAACACCCTTTATGTCCATAGATTCCTTGACATGCAACATCTACATACCAAGAGAACAGTCGTGGATGATGTTTCACAAAAATGATCATCGTGAAACGATTGTTATTATCCCCCCCCACCCCCCACCCACCCGAGGATTGAAAAGTGGAAAGTGATATGAAATGGTGTCGAAATTGAAAGTATATGAAGTGGTGTCGAAGTTGAAAGCAAGAAAAATACTACGACTACACGTTCGGTTTTCAATCCGCAGGCAATAACTAGCCTAGCATGTGTGTATATATATATACACAGTGTATATATATACATACATATTGAGCTAGACATGCATGCAGCATGTAAGAATGGTAGATATTGGGGGGATGGATGGCATATTTTTTTCATTACACGACACGTTGAGGCGCTTTTCATTGAGAGATCATTTTGAATCTTCCTGTGGATTCCAATCTAAGATTCATTTTCAGGTAGCGCAGCAAAAGCAAGAGCTACAGGTTGAGGCACGTTCCAAGATTGATGCGCCCACGTTGGGCCAAACGTCGAAAAGAATCTAGGAGACTATTTCATTCTTGCTTGTCAATCAGCAGAGCAGCTGGACACAGATTCATGGTTAGACTCACTTCATTTTTGGCTCCTCGTCCAGATAATGCAGGAAGATGCAATACGTCAAGCCTTGTTCAACACATCTATTGTTTAATGCTTTTGCCAGACCAAGTGCACATCGGGCAGGACAAATCATCATCTTAAATCACAGAGGGAGCTGGAATGGGATACCGAAGCCCCGAAAGTTTGCAAGGCTATGAAGCACACCGTGCTCATGCGTCTTGCCACTCTCCTTTGCATGGTCACACCTTGCAGCGCAGCGCCCTATGCAAAAATGCCACTGCTGATGCCATCTGCACGTTTCGAACTACGAGATGGCCACAGCATGCCTGTCGTGGGGTTAGGCGTTTACATGTCGAAGCCAGGAAAGGAGACATACGATGCAGTGACTTTGACCAGAACGATCTGCTTTAAGGGATCTTGAAGGCCTTTTTCTAAAAGAGGGGTTGAAGTTTCCGAAACCTACCGTAAGAGTTTTGGGCTGGTGTCAGTGTTTAGCCGTTTCTCTCCTCACTTTATTTGAGCGTCGTAGTTTGGCTAGTCATGAGAAAAAGTCGGAATTGCTGGATTTGCACTCATGCAAGTCAAGTAGAATACCTTTCGCAATCTCAACATTCTGAGTTTCCCAAAGGTGAAATGGGCCTTGGAAGCTGGCTACCGCATGATCGACACTGCGGCCATCTATCAAAATGAAGATAGTGTGGGGGCAGCTCAGCAGCATGGGCTTGACCAAGCCCCCCCAAAAAGAAACATGTTAGTTGTTCCTGACATGTTAGGTTTGCAAATTCTACTGGTTGGATGGCTGAGCATGGATTGATTGGAGAGCCACACGGGCTGATCCGGCAAGTTATCCAAATGGGGGAATGAGTTCCTATGCTGTGAGTCGACTGGAATCATGTCCTATCATGCCCAAGGCCTCAGGCAGACATTCTATTTTTTCAGGTTGGAGGCCACCAACCTACTAGCGATGGCCTCCAACCTAATAGTGCGAAGATGAAGCATTCCAACTTTCATGGATGACACGCACAAAACGTGCATACAAACCGAAGACCCTTTTGAGCGGATCAAAGAGCTCACGCATGGTAGCGGAGCTGTGAGGGACACTCCTAAGGTTTGTCCTGAGCTCCAGAGCTCTGATCGGGGACCGAACCCTATCCCCCTCGCGCCCCGGTTCCACTCGCTTGCCGTGCCACCATAAACTAGTGTCGCACGATCTCGCATTCATTGCTTGAGATTACGTGGCCACGGAGCGTGAAGAACACCTTGGACTACCACTTTGCCCACATCCAGTTGAAGAAGGAAGTTTTTGAGGTCCAGGAAGTGGAACCACATCCTTTTGCCGGAGGTCGTCCCGGAGGAAGAGAAGGGTGAGATTGGAGCTTTTGAATCCAAGCTGAAATGGACGGGTCTGGACCTACAGGTTTCGAGGATTTGACCCAAGCATTGATTGCAGCAGCCCAAGCAGCAACTCAGGCAGTCCAGACAGCCACGTCGACGGGATCTGGGTCAGGAGCTCCAACAGGGGAACCAAGTGGCCTTTTGAAGAAGGATCTAGCCCGTTTGATTCCAAGACCCGGCACGTTCCAACCCACTGATAGGGAACAGGAGATTCTTCAGTGGAGAGACGGCTTTTGGAGCATGAAACAGTATTTGGTGGTGGTGGACAGCGCCTACCAGGACGAGCTGGAGAAGATTGAGGAGAAGAGTGGAGAGGAGATCGAATGGTCATTCCTCACGGAGAAGGAGCAGGAAAGGGCACGCTTCCTGTATAGCTTGCTTGGGAGCTTGATCCATGGAAGATAGGTCGGCCTGATCAAGAACGTGCCCCACTACAATGGATTTGAAGCGTTGAGACAGTTGATACTCAATTGCCAGCCTCAAGCTCGAAATCGAACAATGAACTTGTTGCAAGGCATCATGGCCTATCCGAGCTTTAACATGAAGCTGTCCATTCTGCCCCAGCTGTTGAAGTTAGAAGAACACTTTACACAGTATGAACGGTTGGGAGGAAAACTACCACCAGATATGAGGGCTGCAGTTCTTCTGAAGGCTATTTCTGGCCCCCTCAAGGTCCACTTCAACATGACGTTGAACGAGGGCAGCTCCTATGGTAAGATAAGAGAGGCAGTGCTGGCCTATGACACAGCGAACACGAAGTGGACCATATGGATTGCCGCACTTGTAGACCTGCGGTGACTCTTCGATCCTGACCAATCGCTATCCGGGAAAGTCTCCAGCAACCATCTTGAGGTATCACATCGTGTAACCAATCCATGGCCTGCTTCTTCCAGTTCAAGGACTCCATATTGGCCCATCGTGGATTTCAGGTAGCCGATCATCTTTGCCAGCTTCTTGAGACTTCCTGTCGTAGGGCACGCCATGCTTGATGCCAGCTCTTTCACCGCAAAGCTGATGTCCATCCTCTCCTGGCTCAGGTAGATGCCACATCCAACCAATGAGCGATATAAACCTGCCAGTTCAATCCCCAATGGCGTAGTCCCATCTGGTTCCAGCATCTCCTGTCCACAGGGAAGTTGTTGTGTCTTCACTCTTCCCATCATGGCCTCATACTTCTCAACCATCTCCTCTGCGTACTTGCCTGGATAGACTCGTAAGGTGGGGTTCTCCTCTTCATTGACAAGCTCATAGGTCCGCCTCAGAAACTGGATCTGGTCCTTCTCCTTCTCAATGTGCTGTTGCGAGATCTCAAATCGAACTTGTATTGCGGGCAGGAAAACTTGACTTACATATGACTCCTTTCCCACAAACATGATGTCATCCACATGGATCAGAAGCATCATGTCATCTTTGCGCCTGCCCAAACAAGGGTTCTCATCCGCGAACTCGAATCCTTTCTCTCCCAACCGTCCCAACCATGATGTGATGCACTCATACCATGCCTTCGCTCCAATGCGTTGTCCAGGCAAGTTCTTGAGCACTTCAAAGTGGCCATTGGGAGTTCTGAACTGCGTAGGCACCGCTTGGTCAACCTGTAGGAAGGCGTCCTTCACATCCAAGCTTCCCAGCCAATACTTCTCACCGCCAGCTTCTTCCTCCTTCTTCTTCATGAGGTAGATGAGTGGAAGCAACCGCAAGGTCTGTCCACCCGTTGCTGGAGAATGCACCTCATCATTCCTCTCTAAAGCGTACTCCCGGGCAACCATTCTTGACCTCCTAAGCCACTGCTTCTTCCCATCTTCAGGCCTGGGTTTTGCTCTCCAATCATGCACAAACCTGGTGGTCAGGGTTTTGTGGCCCATCAAAGGTCCCTTCATGGCCCGAAGCACTCCCATTCTTTGCAACCTCTCCTCCTCAACAATATCTGCGAGGTCGTCCACCCACTTGGGAGGATCAGGTGGTACTCGGTCAAGAAGAGCCGATGACCACAACTCCTTGGGCACATCTCCTCCTGGCAGCACCTCCTCTTCTTCTGGCTCCACATTCCAGCTGATGAAGTCATCATCCCAAATGCTGTCATTGTGGTAGAACACATCACCTCCAACTTGGGTGGCTGCAACCCTCCTCTCCACATGTTGCGCATCATCAGGCTTAGCCCTCTTTGGATCCGGGCTCATCATCTCCAAGCCATGAACTGGCTTCTCCATAGTGGGCTTCAGCTTCTTGGAGTCCTGAGTCCTGTTCTGAGCTTTCCTCCATAGATGCCTGCTTCTGTGCTGTGGTTCTCGGACTCGATGATGGTCGTCCGCTTGAGGGTCCGGCTTGATTGTTCTCTTCATCGATGAGGGGTTGCACCTGAGCAATGGGAATCACCTCCAGCAATGCAGGATCCTCCTCTCTGAAGCTAACCTTCTTGTCCTCACGAATCCTCTTTTCTTCTTCCTCTGTGGCCTTCTCTTTCTCAGCTTCCTCATCATCCTTTCGTTGATCAATCTTCCCAGCGTAGGATCTGGCAAACGTGATCACCTCATAGGCCTCCTTGTCGTCCTCAGCCAACTTCTCCAGATCTTCAACTGGGAGCGACGCAGCCGGTCCTTCCACCACTGCTATCAACCTTTTCGAAGGCACGATTCTTCCCCCGAAGTTTGTCTGGTATTCCCAGCTGTAGGCACTGAATGCTTTGAAGCAGCTGAGAAAGGATTGCCAAGACTGCTCCACCCTGCGGATTGATCGACTCAAGAAGACTCGACTGCCATCTCCAATGATCCAACAATCCTGGGTCTCACTCTTTCCAAGGCATATTCCAATCTTCCACTTGGGATCCGCTTTGTAGCCCTGCTTTGGCTTGACATAGGCATGGACCACTTCCCCATACCGGCAAACCTTTCCATCATAGGGCCTTCCATAGACGAGCTCGTAGCTTGTAGTTCCCTGCGTGGCTTGGAACCTGTTGAAAACCCAAGCGCTATGCCGACAGCACCAGCTCCACAAGGGATGTTGGGCACTAAAGCGCATGTTGCGACCTCCTCCATGAGACTTGCTGCACTCCTCTGATCCTTTGGACTGCGTTCTCTGCAAGGGAGTTGCCCGAAGAGTCGTACAGCTTGGTAGTCCTCATATGGGTTTCCAAACCAATTGCTGTCCTCGCCTGCACCAACAACTTCAGCACTTGTCGAGTGGCTGGCTCATTGTCCATAATATGTCACCTTCTCATGGCCAAGTAGTTGGGTGAAGGCGAGCAACTCGTGGGCGATAAGGCTTGTCTGGTTCTTTGAGCGAAGTGGCAAGCCCATCAAATAGCCCGTTTCGGAGCACACCGCAATCAGCCAAAGCGCTCCTCCTTCAATCTGGGCTTGGTCAACCTCCTCCGGCACTCCAAGTGGCCCTATTCCCCGCGCATTCGTGTAGGAAAAGTCGAGCGACGCCACTGGTCCTGACTCCCGAGCTTTTCCTGTGCGCCTGTGGGGATCTGGTCGTCCTGGATGCTTAATGCAGGCGGAACACCAAGGTGCGTACGGGGCGTGTGTGAGGGCATGCTTTCTCTTCTCTTCCTCACCTGGCTCCTTTGCAAGCGCCTGCTCCCGTGGTTCTCGACCTTGTAGCTCTTGGGCATGCTTGGCAAGATCTCGAGCCTGTAGGAGTTCCAGACGGGCTTGATGCTCGACAAGGCGGCCAAAACACTTGCGCTTACTGCCTGATTGCCCAACTTGGTAGAAAGCACATGCAGCTCTGAGTGTGCGCAAGGGGCTGTCCAGAGAAAGGTCCACCCCATTGACTTGAATCCTGTCTGGGACGGCAACCCCAACTTCGAATCTCACCTGCTGGTCATCGAGATCAGCTCCTCCTGGACCTTCAGGCTCGCCAATCTCTCGTCCCTCGAATGCCTCAACTTCACCCTCATCGTCGGCTATTGGGATGGCATAGTCCTCCTCATTCACTCTTCTTCTCTTTGAGGCCTCATAGTCAAATCCTTCAACCTCAAAGCCAAGATCCTTTGGTGCTTGGGATGTCGTGGAGTGTGCCACAAAGGTGATGATCTTCGCCATGTATTCAACTCTCAACTCCTCGATCTCTTCCTCCTGGTCTTCTAGCCCATCCACCGGCTCACTCATCTCCACCAGTTGCCACTGGTCGCCCTTCTTGACTACCGTGGATCGGCTCATTCCTTCTCCTTGGTGCCTCATGTCCGGGATGAACTGGGGGCTTTGGAAGTGCTGTCCACGATGCACTCCAATCCATCTCTCCCCATGGCGCTTCCATCCCAACTGGTCCATCTCAATCTTCTTCAGGCCTTCTCCCAAAGTGACCTTCAAAGCTCTCACAAAGCTTGCCAGGGCCACATTCCTGATCTGTCCCTGTACGACCAGGCTCTGGTTCTGCAGGTCAATAGGCACCTTCACCTCTCCGTTGACCAAACACCTCTCCTCTCCGCTGATTGACCATCCTGAACGAAGAAGATGACCAAAAGAAAGGATAGGTTGGGACACCACGTCACTGACTGTCACCCTTTCCTTCAGCACCATGAGCCTGTCGTCCTCAGCCTTCAGCTCAATGTCGATGTCTCTGTGCCCATAGGTTCTGATTGCCCTTCCCTGAGCATCCTGGAGATACGGCGACATTCCACGAGCCTTCCGGCCTTGCTTCAACATGTGGCCTGGGAGCATCTGCTCCTGAATTGATGATGATCGTTGCCATCACTCCATCACCATCGCCGGTTGGGCCATCATCCACCTGGTACTCCTCCTCAGGTGGCACCTCATAGATGGCATTCACTCTCAAGGCACCTTCGTAGTCCTCCTCATCGTCCGTTGCGATGCTGTAGAACTCAACTGCTACTCTTTTCCTCGGCTCTTCAACCTCTCGCAGCACCCGAATTGACCCGCTGCTCTCCTCGTAGCTCCTCAAATCGAAGATCAGGGGTTGTGAAACCCGTCTCACCGCCTTGAGCGTGGTCTCGCTTCCTGGCTGGATCGACGTCGTAGTACTTGGTGATACTGTAGGTGGGCTGATGGGGCATTTGATGCTGGAGCTTCTATCTGTCTGACCCTCCAGCAATCCTTGGCTAAGTGTCCTGGGCGTCCACGCGTCCAGCAGCCCTTTCCTTTCTCTTTCCCACCTTTTCCTTTTCCTTCACTCTTAGGCCCAACAGCGGCCTTTCCCCCTTTTCCCTTGGACTTGCCCTTCTCCTCTTTGCCCTTGCCCTTGGTGCCCTTCATGTCTTTGGTCTTCCCTTTTCCTTTGTCTTTTCCCTTCAACTGATCCACCTCCATGGGGGCAGGTCCATTGATGTCATTCAAATTGGACTGCATTGGGCTCGTACTTGAAAAACTCAGTGCGGCCGACTCGTTTGAATGGCACCGTGGTGTTCTCGAGCTCTCGAGGACAGAAATCTGTCAGTTTGAGTTCAGCTGAAGCAGAGCTCAATGCACTGGTTTGAGCCGCAGCTGATGGAATATACCTCAAGAGGTGTTTAGAGTTCTTGGTGGGAGAGAACGTGACCCACCATTGCTTGGTTGACAACTCTGCAGCCCTACGCATGTCATCGAAAGGGACCTGGACGCCTACGACGCATAGCAGGCAAGTTGTTGTGGGTGCAGGACTTGGTGGCGCAGGAGGAGCTCAGGGTGAAGTCAGTTGGAACCGCGTACAACGTGGCTGACTTGGGGACAAAACCCCTGAGCAAGGCACGGATCCAATTGATCCTGTACTGGTGCAAGATCAACAACAAGGAACACCAGAGGCTTGGAGTGGATGAGCACCATCGGATGGCTGATGGACTGATCAGCAAAGGGAAGATCAACAGATTGGCCAAGCTGCTGAACAGGATCTTGCTGTTAGAGGGTCTTGAGCATGTGGCCGGGAACTCTATGGACGAAAGCAACACCTGTCTAGCAGTTGAGGAGACATCAACGAGCTCTATGGCACGATGGGTGATTGGCATCTTGGTCCTGATGATCATCCTCCTAGCTGGTGTGGTCTATCTGCTCTGGAAGAGCTTGCGAGAAGTGAAGGAGGACCTGTATGAATTGCGGCAAGACTGCAAGACAGATGGAACGATGATCAGCGCCATCGACTATGAGATGAAGGAGTCGAACAGGAAGCAAGAAGGTGTGAAGGAAGCAGTGCAAACGTTGGCCGAGTACATCCAAAAGGTGCACAGAGGACTTATCAAGATTGATGGGTTCGTGGATGACACAGAGATGAAGGACGAGGATTGGCAGCATTGCGACTACTTGCAGAAGTCCAATCGGAACGCAAATCTGCAAAAGTTGAAAACCCAAGCAAAAGAGCTGCTGGTTCGAAAATGCAATGAGGAGTTTGAAGACGAGTCCATTGATTTGGTAGCGGCATTCCCAGACAATGTCCCAGAGGAGGAACCACAAGAGGGTGAAACAGCACTGGTGCAGTTGGAGTCAGGACAACTTGTCCATATCTCTACAGAGTACCTGGAAGTGAGGGAACCGGAGAGTGACCCTGAGGATGAGACAACAAGGGAGACGAGGAGAGCAGAAAAGAAGAGAAAGCATGATGAAGAGATCGAGCGAATCAAGCGCTTGAAGATTGACGATCTTGGTGACCTTGACCTACCAGAAGGCCGATCAGGCCTACGAGCAAAAGAACACATGAATCAGCTCCATGACCATTGGGTGGTGGCTGACAGAGCAGGAGATGCGGCTGGTAGGGTCAGAAAGATGGAGGTACACCAGAAATTTCTGGACAGTGCCGCTTTGAGGTTTTAGGTCTAGGAGCTGACTCTCCGAGACCTAAGGAGGAGTGCGAAGATGAAGCATTCCAACTTTCATGGATGACACGCGCAAAACGTGCATACAAACCGAAGACCCTTTTGAGCGGATCAAAGAGCTCACGCAAATAGTTACTTTTTCAGCAACCTTTTTTGAACTTTCCAATCTTGTTCTCTGCATAGTGGAAGAACGAGGAAGCTATTGCGGATAGCGGCGTTCCTCGAAATGACATATTCTTGACGACCAAGCTGTGGGATGCCGACCACGGCTATGATGCCGCTGTCAAAGCGCTGGAAACAAGCCTTAGCAAGTTGAAGGTGGATTATTTGGATTTGTACCTTATCCACTCTCCAAACACAGGAGGGTTTGGACCAGAAGTGGGATTCTTTTGTTTTGAATGTGAATGGCTCTTCCATAGGACCAACGCATCTCACTCAACGGAGACATTTTTGTCCCACTTCACACGTAATAACAGTGTGATGTTCAACCGGGCATCAAGGATTTTGTAGTGGGTTAGTGCAGTTGAGAGTGCAGCTTGCACCATGACATTATCAGCTTTGGAAGTCATGGTAATTAGGTTGTCTTCCTTCCCATAACCGTGAATACATTCTTTTGTTGCTGAGATCCCTGAGGAAAGATTGTGAAAACTTGGGACGCCCTCATTCATATGCAGAAGCTGGGAAAGCTCAGATCTATTGGGGTGTCCAATTTTGGAATTCCACACTTGGAAGCATTGAAGAAGTATGGACGGCCAATGCCCGCAGTGAATCAGATTGAGATGCATCCCATGAACTATCAGGACTTCGGATCATGTCAGCACCCAAGTTCAAACACCGCCAGTCTCAAACTGCCTATCAGGAGGCAATGCGCTTCAAGCTTTGAGTGCATTAAGAACATCAAAGAGGTTTCCAAGTTCTCGCAAGACCGTGTTGTTTTGCCATACGACATGTACACAGCGCAAGAAGGTGTATTCTTTATCCACCGCACGGTGAGGTTTTGTTGCATCAGTTGTGCTTCCCCACTCACAGTGTGGTCTCCTCACAGACACGCACTGAAATAGTGAACTCAAATATATCCTTCAGTGCCAGAGCTGGAGCTTCTGAGCTCATATTGAGTGAGCTCATGGAAGCAAGATTGGTTTGCCAATATTGAATGGGCAACAGTTTTTTTTTACTCGTTCAAAGGTCTGACAACAGGCTTGTCATGTCCTCCTGGTTCTGTCAGAGGTGACACAGGATTCGAGCGATAGCAAAGTCTGTATGGCTGGGTTCCGACAAAAAATACGAAACCGTTGCAAACCTCTGAGGGCGCAACTTGAGAATAAGGCCCCAGAATCTACTTCTTATGCAAGAGTCTTAAATGTCGTTCTTAGCACTAAGAATCTAAGACTACGCTAAACCCAAAGGGACCTGACTGAGTTTGTCTTTGCTTGACTGGGAAATCCTTTGAGCACGTACATCATTGCATTTAAAAGGGCAGAGGCAACAATCTGGAACGAGGACTCCTAATCTCTGCATCTCATGTCATGCAGTGACATGTAGCGACTACAGCATCCATGTTTGAACAATTGTCTGCCCAAATGTCCATGGAAGCCAACCAGCTTGAGAATTAGAGTCTTGGCTCGTAGCAGGTACACAGGGATAATTAGGCCCTTCGACTGGGAGGCAAAAAGAAGGTCTTCGTTGGTGGCAAAATCTGGTTCCGCCTGCAACCCCCTGCTGCTGCTTTTGTGCGTGCAACAGTCTCGCAAGACATGCAAACTGGTAGACCTTTGGCAAAGGTACCGCGCACACACACACACACACTTAGTCACAGGTTTATCCAGTATCATAGTTCACGGTGAAATGGATGTGGGAAACGCAAGGCGAAATGGTCAGCGCAGTTGAAATGTTTAACAACGTGTTCACTTGTCTGCAGAAACGCGGCTTCCAGCTGAGGGAAACCTGTTTGTGGGGAGTAGCGTGCGAAACCGCCATGAAGCAAACCGAGAGTGGAACAGCGTGATCAACAGTTCAGGGTGCAGGTACATCGGCAAGCGCCCTTGCCGATATCCTAGGAGCATGTGAGGAGCTTCGTTGGATGGAGCCTCACATGTCCTCTCCATCCCCCTGCGTGAAAAAAAACTCCTAGAGACGGAGGGCGACGCACACACACACACACACGGCCGCTTTGCGGCGCTAAACCTAAATAGTCACCTAACAAGCCTTAGAAAAAGAAAGGAAAGAGAACGGGAAACCGAAAAGCGCAGAAGAAAAGGGTAGGGGCAAAGGTGTGCAGGTCTGCCGCACGAGCGGCAAATTACGGGTCGAGTAGATACCTAAAAAGCCTTAGAAAAGAAAGAGAGAAAGACAGAAAGAGCAAAGCGAAAAGGTCAAGAGAGAAAGATAGGGGTAGCGAAAAGAGGTGTGGCTACTTAGCGCTTGACTACTTAGCCCTTGACTGAAAAAATAGCCGTATTTCAACCTAAAAAGCCTCTAGTGCAAAGGCAGACCTAGAAAGAGAAACGAACAGGCAAGAGAGAAAGAACCAAAAACCCGAGGGGCAGGGAAACGAGCCTCAAGAACCACCTAACAAGCCTGAAAGAAAACCTAACAAACGAAGAAAGCGCAAGAGAGAAAACGGGGGGGGGAAGAAGGGGTGTGTGTACATATGTGTGTAAACCGTATGCCCGGCGGCTTTGTGTTCCGTAGCTCGGCAGCTTTGCGGTCGGTTGATTCATGGGTGAAACAGTGACTCATGGAACCACAATCCAACAAATGCAGGAATGCTGAGTCAAAAACGTGATTCACAATGGCTTCAGCGCCTCTCTTGCGAGAGGATCACACTGTGTACCCAGTGCGAAGACACAGTGATACACACTTAGTCACAGGTTCATCCAGTATCATAGTCCACGGTGAAATGGATGTGGGAAACGCAAAGCGAAATGGTCAGCGCAGTTGAAATGTTTAGCAAAGTGTTCACTTGTCTGCAGAAATGCGGCAGCTGGAAGCGGCTGAGGGAAACCTGTTTGTGGGGAGTGCGAAACCGCCGTGAAGCAAAACGAGAGTGGAACAGCGTGATCAGGAGCTCAGGGTGCAGGTACGTCGGCAAGCGTCCTTGCCGATATCCTAGGAGCATGTGAGGCGCTTCGTTGGATGGGGCCTCACTCCATCCCCCTGCGTGAAAATCAAAAACACCTAGAGACGGAGGGTGGCGCGCACACTTAGGTTGATGCTCGCAAGAGCTGATTCAGTGAAGGTAGCCCACTCTAGCGATTACATTACCGGTGCAGTAGCCCTTGACTTGCAAGAACTGAAAGATGGTTGGGTCCGATCAACAGAAGTGCTTAACCTGGGTGATACCAAGGAGATGCATTAGCTCTTTACGGAACCTGCAGGTACACACCAAGGCGTCCCTTGGTGCTTCCCCTGTCACATCCCAGCTTCGTTGGGCCAGGTCGGATGTGACAGGCCTGGCCCTCCTGCCTTAAAAAAAGTAGCTTTGAAATAATTTACAATGTGTGAAGCCTAGCAAGCCTTAGAAGAAAGGAAAGGAAAAGACAGAAAGAGAAGACGCAAAGGGCAAGAGAGAAAGATAGGTGTACTGTAGTTACGAGGCCCACTAGTTACGAAACCTTCTAGTTACTGAATACTTAGCTGCGTGAATTAAGTGCACTACTTAGCGAGCTTAGCGAGCGGGACTTTAGTCTTAGGCCGCCCGGGTAGGAAAGACTAGGACAGGAGAAACAGAAGGAAAGGCACCAACGCGCAAGCGTGTTGAGTGCGACTTCCTTCTGTTACCCTAATTAGAGGGTGGGAATAGGAGGTGTGAATTCGCGCGCAAGGATGGGGTGGGGGCTCTAAGGCAGCGCTCCCTTGACTGAAAGGTTACCTGAAACCTCAAGAAAGGCCTCAAAGCAACAGTAGGAGGGAAAAAACCAAAAGAACCAAAAGAGATTACTTAGTCGCTTACCTATTGACCTATTGGTCCTCTGCTCACTCTCCTCACGCTCGGCTGGTGCAGCACTCTTACTCCTTCCTCTCCGCGGCTGCTCTTTCGACTTTTTTACACTCTTGAAGCCCCTGAACGTGTCGGGGTTTGTTTCGTTTGTCTGTCGCAAACCAGTGAAGATCCGAAAGAAGTTCCAGAATGAAGGATGAGGAATCAGAATGGGTCCCCCTTGGCGGGTCTATGCACACGCTGCGCCCCTCGATGGGGATCACGCCACAGCCCTCAGTGGGACTCTGTGGCGACACACACTTAGATTGATGCTCGCAAGAGCTGATTCAGTGAAGGTAGCCCACTCTAGCGATTACATTACCGGCGCAGTAGACCTTGACTTGCAAGAACTGAAAGATGGTTGGGTCCGATCAACAGAAGTGTTTAACCTGGGTGAAACCGAGGAGATGCATTTAGCTCTTTACGGAACCTGCAGGTACACACCAAGGCGTCCCTTGGTGTCACGTCCCAGCTTCGTTGGGCTAGGTCGGATGTGACAGGCCTGGCCCCCCTGCCTTTAAACAAATAGTTTTGACATAATTTTCAATGTGTGAAGCCTAACAAGAAAAGAAAGGAAAAGACAAGAGAAAACGCAAAGGGCAAGAGAGAAAGGTAGGTGTAGTTACAAGGCCCACTAGTTACGAAACCTTCTAGATTCTAGTTACTGAATACTTAGCCGCATGAATTAAGTGCACCAGTTAGCAAGCGGGACTTTAGTCTTAGGCCGCCCGGGTAGGAAAGACTAGGACAGGAGAAACAGAAGGAAAGGCGCCAACGCACAAGTGTGTTGAGCGCGACTTCCTTCTGTTACCCTAATTAGAGGGTGGGAATAGGAGGTGTGAATTCGCGCGCAAGGATGGGGTGGGGGGGCTCTAAGGCACTGCCGTGACCGGCGCTCTCTTGACTGACTTGACTGAAAGGTTACCTGAAACCTCAAGAAAGGCCTCAAAGCAACAGTAGGAGGGAAAAAACCAAAAGAACCAAAAGAGATTACTTAGTTGCTTACCTATTGGTCCTCTGCTCACGTTGCTCACTCTCCTCACGCTCGGCTGGTGGAGCACTCTTACTCCTTCCTCTCCGCGGCTGCTCTTTCGACTTTTTTACACTCTTGAAGTCCCTGAACGTGTCGGGGTTTGTTTCGTTTGTCTAGTGTCGCACATGGTCATGCGGTGATGTTCAGTATTTCGATCTCAGTAGGCCCTGCGGCATTCGATCTGTAAATCCAAGCAGAACGAACAAACCAGTGAAGATCCGAAAGAAGTTCCAGAATGAAGGACGAGGAATCAGAGTGGGTCCCCCTTGGCGGGTCTATGCACATGCTGCGCCCCTCGATGGGGATCACACCACAGCCCTCAGTGGGCCCTGGGATGTTGAAACCCACGCGAATTAGCGGAACGGTCTACAGGCTTGCCTCCGAACAGAAACATGACCATGAGCGTGAGAAAGTGTTCACTGGAATGGACGTGACGTTCTGAGTGGACTCCCCAAGTGTGTTTCTGGTGGAGGAGAGGGTGCCTGTGCTTGACTTTTGCAATCTCAATGGCGTCCAGGTGCAGGCATATGGTTCCATGTTCTTCGGTGGCTTGGCCGTAGGTTCAAATAAAGATACTTTGGTCCCATTGATTTGCTCGAAATGCAATGGGCCACAAGGGCATGCATTTGTGTGTTGTTGCTTTTTTCAAAGCAGACATTTTTCCACACATCAAGTCTTCTGCCATGTGGAGTAGAAATCCCCAGAGGCAGCGCATCCGTGAAGCGGCTTCAGACATTCCCGGGTTTTTGCATCAATGAGCCAAGGAAGACCTGAGTTCCTTGAACGACCTGAAGTCACAAGTGTGGTTAGGGCACATGGTGCCACCAGCTCGCAGGTGCAACATATATAGATGCTTATGTATTTTGTCCGTAAAAAACACCATTTCCACATTGCAGGTTAGAAGCTTTGTTTGTTCGGGACCAGCAAGTTAGTTGAGAACCTCGTGCCAGGTGCTTCTACGATGGGCTCTGCAGATGGGTTTTCAGATCATTCCAAAGAGCGTGAAAAAGCATCTGAGCGACTCTAAGGTTTGATACCGCCTTTTGTATAGTTCCCCAAATGGTTTACTGAGTTGGTGTTCTCTCTGAAAAAAACGAGCTGGCCACAGTCTTTGGCCATGCCCCTGAACCCTGTGTCCTGGACTTGTCCTCCTCTTGTCCTCCTGGTGCTGTGCAGTTGTCCTGCTGTTGTCCTCTGGCCGCACTGGCCAACGCTGTGTCCTCTTCTTGTCCTTTTGGTGTCCTCTTCTTGCGTCCTGGTGCTCCTATTTTCCTCCTGTGTTTCCAGAGGCAGAATACGATCTCTGGGTGCTTTTCTGGGAAGGCCTGAACCTCTCTTGGTCAACTCAGTTGGAGATCGTGAGGTTAGCGCTCCAAGAGCTGGAACGGCTCGTTATCGTGTCTACCATAACTTCAAGGCAGATGAAGCTGCCAAGGCAGCCCTTCAGTTGTTTTCACCGGAGTTTCTTTCTCACCACAATACTGTCAGTGAACAATACTTGCACTCAAGGAATTGCCACTAAACTTGCAGAGTTTCACACCAAGTGTGCTTTATCTTTTTCAATATAAGAAGGGCTTCGAAAGAAGTTGGAATGTTGTGTTCTGACAACTTGCGTGCGTTGACATTCTTGCCAGTGGTTGGTGCGCTTACCTAGTCTCGCGCCGTCGGGTGACTCACTTGATGAACCCATCTATCTGGAAAAGCTTTTGCCGTGGATTCGTAGCTTGGCATGGAGTAGAGGTTAAGTCTCCTCAGCTTTTGTGACATTTCGTGGCTAGAGCTTGTTGGGAACTTTCGTAAATATTCTGGCCTCGGCATCGGCTTGAGTGTTGAATCCGGATCGGCGTATTGCGTTATAGGAACGTGCGATTTCGGCCTGACGCATGAGCATGAGCATGTGTGTGCATCTGCCATTTTCCATGTGCCCTTGGCCCAATCCAGGGGCCCCTTTTTGATGAGCCAACTCGACCACAGCGGTCGGTGATAAAACCCGATCCATAGCGGCATCGCAGCTTCCGGTTCGTTCGCGCACCCTTTTTCCTTGTGAGCCCAATAGCTACCGTTGCACCTCCGTTGCGTGGTAGCGGAGCTGCGTGCTCCAGCGACCTTACAATATTCGATTTTAGTTGTTGTAAAGTTATAACTCACTTACCCTAGAAGAAGTCAGTTATATCTTAGTTATAACTCGAAGTTATAACTAAGTTATTTCCTATTTATAAGTTCCATAAGTAGTTCATAACTTACTTATAACTAAGAACTAACTACCTTCTTTTTCCCAAAAAAAGACGCGTTTTTTCGCGCGCAAACGGAGAGATCTCAGCCAAATGCTACAGCCGACGCGTCCAACTCAGTGTGTACAGTCGATACTTTGATCGATCTGTCGCCGCCAGCTCGCCGGTAGCCATCGAGTCGGTTGGTCCACTCGATGCCAGGTCACCTCGTCTGTCAGACGCCACGTCGAACCCCACTTGGTGGTTCCAGAGAACCGCAGGCGGTTGGAGCAGCTCAAAAGGATTGCTGAAACGAGTTTCTCGCCAACGGGTGGCCGACACAGGGCCGACGAAAGGCATGGGGTGTGGTAGACATGTCTTGGGGCCGACATATGGCCGACACGGCGACGGCGACGGCGTTCTGACGTGGGGCCGACACGCGGCCGACAACCGAAAAAACTTATATGTACAGAATGTCGTCGTATAGATACAAACATATATATACAAACAAAAGGGATATAGATATAAGGCGAATCTATAAATGTTTACGCCCCGCCCTGCTATCGAAGCGCGTGTAGTCCTGCTGCTGCCTCCGTGTCTTTGCCATTGTCTCCGCAACGGTCGACATGCCTCAGACCTATATATTTCCGGGACACTTGAACCAAAAACTGCGCAATGTTTTTTTAGGTGAAACTCAGCTTTGTAACTACGAATAACTAGAAATAACTTTGTATAACTAAGACCTAACTAAGTTATAACTTCCACCTAACTACACCCGGTTTACTTATTATAAACTACTTACATCTAACTTGTTCTAGCCTTACTAAATTATAACTTTATGTTAAGTTCTTTAAGTATAACTATAGTTATACATACTTATCCTAATACAAGTTATGTTATCGAAATACAAGTTTACTTGTAGTTCCCTAACTAAAGTTATAACTTACTTATAACTAAAAAAGTATATCGTAGCAGCCTGAGTCACTATCTCCTGAACAAGTTCACGATGATCTTCCTTGAGGTCTGAGAGGTGACTGGCTGCTCCACAACGAGGACTACGGCTGGGACTCCTGGGGCTCATGGGCTGAGTGGCCGCAGGATGATGAGAACGCTCTCCCGACAGAGGACGGTACCTTCGATCCCAATGTTCCGGAGCCTCAAACTACTTCCTTGCCGAGTGCACCTACGAGGACGGCAGCTCCGTGTCCCTCAAGACACTTCAAGCCGACGATCGGCTGGTATTCAATTGTTCCAGGCTGGTGTGACTGGTGATCTTGCAGAGCTCAGCTTCGCCGACTCCTTCGTGTTGGGCGTCCTTCGTGGCTTTAGATTGATCCAGTCTGCCGGCCTGACGGCCGAAGAGCGGAGAGACTTTCTCTCTGCTACTCACGGCTCTCTTGACTTTGATGAAGTCGGCCGTGCCTTGCAGACCTTGTGGGACGACCAGTTCACTGGACATCGACCTGCTCCTAGTCTTCAGGCAAACTGGCATGAGATGGCCCTTGCTGAGGAACTTGGCAGAGAAGATGGCGTGCGCTGATGCACAACGCGAAATGGCGGCTCTGGGGGAGAAAGAGGCTTTGGGGGCGCAGCTCAAGGCATGGGAAAAGGGCGAGGAAATTGCTTCATCTCCCAGGGCCCACATCTCTAGCGTGAATGTCCTGACAGAAGACATCCCGGACCCTTCAAGGGAAAATCCAGAGGCAAGTCCCACTACATGACTGAGTATGACCCGTACACCATCGACGACTTCATGATGGGCAAGAAAGGTGGCAAGAAGGGCAGACATGCCCATTGGCTGGAAGCTCAAGCCTGGCAGAAGGGCAAAGGCGTATCCAACCGCTTCAAAGGCAAAGGACCGACCCTCGACCACCAATCAATGCCTACAACGCTGAAGTCTTCTTTGGTGGCCTGGAACTCCAGAACCATGAAGCTGAACCTCCCCGGACCAGGTTCAACTTTGCCAGCGACTCATGGCCTGCTTGATTGCGGAGCAACGGCTGGTCCACAGCTGGCGGTAGAGAACTTGATTTCTTCAATGCTTGCAAAAGATAGCAAGGCCGTGATTCAAGCCGGCAAGGATGATGGGCGGCACGTCAGGTTTGGGAATGGCAAGTGGGGTGGCGCTTTGTATGGTGACCCAATCCACCTGATGTGCATGACCCCTCACTTCGCTCGACGACGATGGTGCCGGTCCTGGTTGGGATGGATCATTTGTCAGGTGAACGTCACCCATGATCATTGACTTTGCCACAGGGCTTGCATTGGACTCCCGCGAAAAGGTCCCCGAGGTGTACCAGGTGGAGGTGAACGCCAAGGGACGACTATGTGATGGACATCGTCTACTTCTTAACACGGGGATTCGAAGGTCGTGATGGTCGCCCCCAGGTCTACATGGTTGAGGAGCATGAGATGTTTGAGAATACCTACCTCCAGTTCATGCCCCTATATAGAGTTCATGACCATGGATCTTCATGCACCGCGTCACGATTCGGAACGACTCAAACGATCTTTGTTCGGAAACATCTTTGTCGGCGATGCAGCTCACGCCTCAAATGGGCAGGCCACCTGTGGCCACATCTGTCAATTCGCTATCCCCTGATTGCTCGCGCCATGTCCCGCAACCAAGCTGCGCTGAGGGAGAAGGGAACACGGTTGGGGACATTCGGGACACAACGTCCAATCTGCACGAGCGCCTGACCGGCAACCCCAGCAAGCCTGGACTTCGACCTTTCGACGAGGGCAGTGGGAGTGGATCCAAGAGATCCCCGCCTGAGTCCCGATCAATGGCCATGGCGAACCCCCATGCCAAGTACCTCCACAGTGCAGTCTGCAATCTGCGCTTGCGCTACATCCCTCGCCAGGGCTCCCATGGCCAGAGCTCCAAGGTGCAGAATCCCACTATGATCCTCAGGATGCTGACGACCGAAGGAGGGGATGGACTCGGCACGTCCATCTGCCGCAATCTGCCTGGCGATGGAGAAGGCTATTGACATCGAGGAGACCCTCTCCACTCTGATTGGCCAACAAGTGATGATGCTGAAGGAAGAGGAGACTGCCACCAAGGGCTACAAGAAGGCACCAAGCAGCCCGAAGAGCAAGGCGTCTGTTGGGATGTAGCGCCGGCCTCATTGCCGAGCCCCAAGCGAATCGGGATCAAGAAGACTTTCAGGAGCTGGAATTGGAGGACCTCCTGAAGGAGGAAGAGATGCAACAGCTGCTGCAGCTGCTCGACGAGCGATGCATGGAATGCGATCAGGAGGGAACCCTCAGCGATGGAAGGGACCAGCTACCATTGCACCTCCGTTGCAGAACGTTAAAGGTAATGAGTTGGCCAAGCCTGCCCCTATTTTCGCTCAGATTCGTATGATGGCAAACACGGTTAGGAGCTTTGAGAGGAACCTGCGATCATCCGTGTTCCTGATTGAACGCGTGGCCTTCTCGAGATTGCTGTGGGGTCTCGGTACTTTCTTTTGTGCTTCTGGCATTGGGGCGAGGTGTGTTTTTGAGCATCCTGCGTTTTCATTTTCCGCATTCCATGCTTGTGTTGCGCAGCTTCCCGCTAAGGGATCGCTTCGCAGTAATTTTTGCGGATTAATTGGCCGATTTGTGTTGATGCAGTTCGTGTCCGTCTGTTGTCCTCTTCTTGTCCTTCTTTTGGCGTGCATCTTGGCAGCGGCTGCCAGCCAGTCTCCAGAACCTGTCCTCGTGTTGTCCTCTTGTGCTATCTTTTCCTCTTGGCAGTCGTCTTCTTTCTGACCGGCTGTCAGTCCTCCTCTTGTCCTCGTGAACCCTATGTCGACCTGTTGTCTTCTTGTTGTCCTCTTCTTGGCCTGTCGCCCTTTTCTTGTCCTTCTTCCAGCTTGGTGCGGCCGCTATCCCGTCTCCAGTCCTTGTCCTTTTGTTGTGCTCTTTTTGTCCTCTCTTTGCCCTCTCTTCTTGTCCTCCTGTTGTCCCCTTCTTGTCCTCCCTTTGTCCTGTTGTTGACCTTTTCTTGTCCTCTTCTTGTCTTCCTGTTGTCCTTGTCTTGACATCTGGTAGACCTTGTGCTCCTGTTGTCCTCTTTTATATAGCCCTTTGTTCTTTTTCCTTATCTTGTACTTTTCTTCTCTTGTTGTCCTCCTGTTGTCCCGTTGGTGTCCTGCTGGTGTCCAGATGACAGCGTGGCAGCATGTAGATAAAATTATGACAGCGTGCGCGCGCGAAGTAAGTGCGAGCCGCCAAGCGCGAAGACCGCAGTACCAGCATGTCCATGTGGCAGCCTGTCAGCATGTAAAGATGACAACGTGCAAGCGCGCGTTACAAAGAAGTAAGGTACTAGGAAGACAAGTCAGAAGCCGATGCCCTCTCCTTTTCTTCTCCTTGTCCCCCTCTTGTCCTCCTTGTGCGGGGTTCTCTCATACAAAAGAAGAGCTGCCCAGGCCTATCCGGGTGTCCTCTTCCTTTCCTCTTGTAAAAGCTTTTCGCTCCTCTCTTCCTCATGTTATTGCCTCCTTGTTCTCCTTCATCGGCCGTGGCTGCCAGCCTATCTCCGCTTTCCTCGTGTTCTCCTCTTGGCGTGCTCCCCTCATGTTGTCCTGTTGTCCCTTTGGCGCTGTCCGTCGCAGCTTGTCTCTTGGTGTGCGGTGTGTTCGTGTTGTTTTCCTTCTCTCATCCTTTTGTCCTTTGTTGTCCTTTTCTGCCTTCTGTTGTCCTGCTGTTGTCGTGTTGTTTACATTGCTTTCCGAGGCAGGGGCTGGGGCTGAAGGTGCCCACCACAACAGTAATTCTTGCCGATTAAGTTGTTTGGGGTCTATGCTGGTATAACTTTTGCATGCTTGCTGCTAGCCTTTCATGCAGGTTTTCTCCGATTTCTGAGGCACCGCATCGAAGAAAACCTGAAGGTCTTTGATATAGAGCTCACACAGATGGAAATGGATTCACTGAGTTCCATGAAAGGAAAATTAGATCAGTATTGGCAGCCCCTTGGGGCCCCGGTGGACGTGGCCTGGTCGAACTTGTGGTTTTCCTTGTTGCTTGCTGTGCTTTGGCCTCCAAAAAGGTAAAACGATGGAAAACATGAGAATTGGGGCAAGACGGCAAGACAGTTGGAAACTCTTCGGTGGCACCATGTAATTCTAGGTGGGCGACACCTCCAGAGGCAAAACTGAGCTGTGAACTTGGACCGGATTCCATCAACGGGTTTGCTGCAAAGTGATGAAAAAGTGCAATCAATGCCTCACACTGCCCGTTGCACCACCATGGTGTTGCAGTACTAGACTCTCAGAGTGCTTGTGTATGCTCCGACATATGTTGAAAGACATTGTTGACATATATGTAAGAACAACTTGATTGATCCCAGGCCGAAACTCTCCGAAAAGAATTTGAGACTCTGCGGCAGAAACGCATGGGTGGGTCCAGGAGACTTTGCTCTTCGATTTTAGGATATGTCAGCCCACACGGTCAATAAGAATTCAAACAGCATAGACCTTGGTTCATGATTTCAGAGGAGCTCGCGTAGAGGCTTTTGTGCATTTGTTTGTAAGTTGTACCGATCAATTTAGACTTCTTCTAGACATTTTTTTGATACAGGAGCAGCTATGCCAGCTGCCGGCAGAAGAGAGTTGCCGCTGAGCAGCGCCGAAAGGCGAGACCGTGCAAACACAGTGAACACATGCACAGAGGAGGAGTACGTCTTCGCAGACTAGAATGTTGCATGCCAATGTGGTTTCTAAAGGAATGGCCTAGGAGTACCCAACAGCATCATCCTCAACTCCCTCAGAAGAGATGACACCAAAAAATGTTAAGAGAGCCTGTGTGCCAGCCCTGAGCAACCTACAGAAAACAAGCAAAACTACAGAGTCAACCAAAGCGCCCTGCTTGCATTAGGCCCTTCAATCATACCTTTGGCTGGGGTCTTTTCTGACAGGAATTTCCAGTTCTTGTGGGCTGATTCTGGCCCTTCTCCTGCATCTTCTCACTTCTTGGTTGGGTTCTCACTTCTCACGTTTTGTAGCGCCGAGCGCTCGCACGGTTTGGGCTTGCTGCAGAACGGATGGCATCCTTTCGGTCGTCGCGGCGTCACCCTCCGGTCGGTGGCCTCCCAAGCTCTCTTCCACTCTTCGGCGCGAAGGCTCCAATCGGCTCTACCTCCCAGCCCTGCCCTCGCCCTCGCTTAGAGATGCTCTTGAGTCGTTTGATGACCTTTCTAGTTGACACTATCTGTGGCGAGCTGCCAATAGAATCGCCGACACACCCACTGCAACATGGACATGTATATAAGTTGAAGATAGTTGAAGTGCTTGTGTCGTAGCTGCAAGGCAGCTCAAAGGTGGTAGGCGGAGTTGAAGAGACGCTGTGGCCGTTGGGGAGGCAGTGATTCTTCTGTTTTTGTCTCCTTGCATTCTAATTCGTCCGCCCAGTTGTTGTCAGACCACCCAAGACACATAGGCTATAGGCTGTTCAAGCACCCAGACTTGAATAGGACTTCACCCATTGCAAGCCTGAACAGCTTGGAAGTTTGGAGTCTTGTTTTTTTTGTAAAATACATATAATATAATCTATATATATGCAAATAGTTTGATCATTGATTCAGATTCACAGATATTAATCTGAGGTTTCGAGTAGAATTTCGGCCAGGAGCTTCAACTGGAGCTGATGGCTATAGCACGAAGCTTGCAAGCTCCTGAAGGTCTGAAACAAGTGCCACCACTCTTTCTTCCATCAGGAGATCATGCTGCTTGCAAGCAAACACACTCACACAATGCTTCCTTTCTTTTTGTTGCGGACTGTGATGTTTTCGTATTCGCTTCCAATTGTCCAACAGGAGCGCCGGAAGTGCGGAATGCGTCCCTGTTCCGAGAGCTCTACAAGCAACAGTGTCGTCCTTTGTGAAGATTTGCACATTTGGATCAAGCGCTTCAAACTCGACCACTTTTTGCACTTGAGTCATATTGAAGCAATGAGACTGGTACTGGTACAGTAATTGGTTTTGTTCGATCGCGTTCAGGCAGATGCACCTAGCCGCCATGAGAGAGTTGGTGGCCGCAACCAGCCAACAGATCCACGAACGCGAAGCTGCAACTTCGATCAATTGGATTCAAAAAAACATGCTATAGGCTAGATTGGGGTAGGCCGTAGAGGTACTGTAGCTAGTAGCTAGAGGTAGGGAGTCGCTAGTCGAAGAGGTAGCTAGTACCTACTAGTGGACGCGGACAGCTCACGCTTCTTCAAGGAAGCTTCCCCCGCCGCCCTAAAGAAGGCGGGGGAAGCTTCCTTGAACGCTCGCACTATTCATTTGGTTCCTGGATTTTAGGGAAACTTAAGGTTGGAGGCCATCGCTAGTAGGTTGCATCAGGCTTTTTTCTCACGCTGACTGTGGCATTGGCCACGTTGTTTGCTTCGCGGTTCACTAGTCACTAGGTGTTGGAACGCGTGAGCGCACAAATTCAGCACATTTGCCAAGAAATGGTGCTAGCAACTAGCATTTGCATGCATTTGCAACAAATGCCTCTGCATGGATCCTGAGATGAAGCTTACCCGTTACCCAGGAACTAGACGACGAACTGGATATTCTTCTGGGAAGTGGTCTTCCGAAGTTCCTGGCCGCTTTGAAGTCCGAGGCGGAGAACCCCCCAATCAATCCTTGTAAGAACAACCGGCTTTTGTAGGCAAAGGCTGCAGAAAGAACCTCATTATGTGTATATATATATATAAACAATTTGCAATCTCTCAGTCGACATGTCTGGTGCAGGGCATCATTGGAAAGTGCCCTGAGCTGGAAGAGGATCCAGACCGAGCAGGAAGGCTCCGCTCCTTACTGCTGAAATGAGCGCTGGCCAAAGAGAAAAAATCAGCAGGCGTGCGTGAAATGAAACACTGCTGGAAAAGATGAAAAGACAAGGAAGGTCTGATGAGCCTAGAGATATCTAGAGTCTAAAGGTCTGAAGGTTCTTTTAAAGCCCGTGGCCCTGCGATATGACTTAATTAAGTAGGTGCCTACTCAATTAAGTAAGGAAATAAGCTATTAGCAACAGGAAGCTCCCAGCTAGGACGCAGGATAGCTCACGCTTCCTCAAGGAAGCTCGCCCCGCTGGGGGGAGCTTCCTTGAAGAAGCGCTCGCACTAATGATTTGGTTCCTGGACTTTTAGGGAAACTCAACTCATTGTTTCCAACCGTGAAACAAACACAAAAGTACTTAGCTCTAAGTACTTGCTACTAGACACAAGGGGCCTTCCAAAAAGGCATTCTGGAAGCAGACACAGAAGGACCGAAGCACCTTCCTTTTCTGCTTTCTTTCATTTTTTCCACCAATTCTGTATTTGTCTTATTTGCGTTTGTATCGTTTCTCTCGTTTGTCTCATGCTCTGGCTCCGTTGGCTCCGCTTCTCTGGCGAAATCAGGTACAGGGACCGCAGACCCACCGACCCCTTCTTCTACCCCACGACGGTGCGCTCAAGCGAACCGCTGTTCCTTTTGCAAACGCAAAGAAGAACCTTTGAGACCTGTGAGAATCTGTGCTTGGTAATGAATGAGCTTCACATCTACCGAAGGACAAGGTGCCCTCCTCGTTGGTTCCGAGTTTTGATGTGGTTCATATTGAATATAAGGTTTATGATGTGTATACATATATATATATATGTCGTATTGAGTATATAGTGTATATGTAGTGTAAGTCCTCCATGCTTTCTCGCCGCCAAGCTCCTCATCGGCTCAAGACCTTGATGAGCCTCGTGCACTCTGCTGCTGCCCAGGTCGGACTAGCTGCTACGCTGGTGCATTCGTTGCTGCGTGAGCCGCAGCTCCCATTTCCGTGCCTCACGGAAGAGATCTTCTTGCACCGGCCCTCAGTGCTGCTTGGCTTGTTCCTTGGATTGCTACTTGGCCAGATCCTCGAGGCTCTAGGCTGCACTGGTCTCTGAGTTTGAGACAGAGGGCCTTCTGGTCCCAAAACCTTCGGGTGGCTCGTTTTGAGATCTGCCGTTCGGCACACCTGCTGCAAAGGTGTGTTATCCGACAGCGAGGAAGAGAAGGATACCTTAGCCAAGGCCGATGCACAGCCGGGGAAGCATTGGGGGTGGATCCTATGGTGGCAGCAGTGACAAAGCTGACTTCCATCGCGCAGCAAAAAGACGACTCTGGAGGCATGTTAGACGGTGGTGAATTTGTCGGCTCCTCAGATGCATCGGGCATGCCTACTTCCCGGAAGAATGCAGCCGCTCGGTTCCTCTCCGGCTTTGTACCAATAACAGATCTACCGCAACATCAGGCGCAACATGGAGCAAGACTTCATCCTGAAAGCGCAGATGCCGGGCTCCCCATCAGTCCCAGTCAGTGCCCGAGGTTGGTTGGAGGCGAGATCCAAAGTCCAGAACTTCCGGACGCCAGTGACTTTCTTGTGGGGCATTGCAGGGCTGCTAGATTGTTTACAAGACAACCGCGTTGCGGAAGCCAGGGCCAGAGCCTGTCTTTTGCTTTACCTGGTGGGTTTTCGTCAGTCCAGGTTGTTCGCCGCCTGGTAGTTCAGGTTTTCACGGGGAGGAGGAGGCCCGGTGAGGGTCCTCTGTCCTCTCTCATTGTGGTTTTTTCTTCAGTTTCAGTTACAGGAATTGAAACATTTGGAACAGTCAGATCAGCAGGGAGTGTCCTGAGAGAACGTACAGACACCTGAAGGTGTATAGGACCCCCCCTATGCCAGAACATCCTCCTTCAGCTTCAAGAACTCAACGCACTTCAGCCTAGCCTCACCAACGACATGTACCACTCATCCACTCCCCCAGCAAGGGGGGCGCTGGCGAAGGTCAGGCAAAGCCGCTGCAGCCCGCTACATCCCAGACTCGGCGCCCTCAACGCCATCTGACGAAGAACAGCCTGCAACAAGCCACAACCACTATTCCAAGTTAGCGGCAACGCGCGCAAACCAAGCCACAGCCACCTGTAATTGGCTTGCCGACATCACCGCCCCTGATGGTTTTTCTAACGTCTGGTAACTTCAACAGCAGGAAACTTGGTACCAGGTTTTCGCCTGAGAACAACATCTCTTGTCCGCTTTCAACAACGACGCGCTGCAAACTTGTCTGGTAAACAAAACCCTGCGGCTCTTGAATGACATTCTTCATGAAGTGGTTGATAGCTCGCGTGTCCCACACAAGCCGTAGCGCAGGGTCACCCGATGCCATAAAGGCCTCCGCAATCGGAGTGCCGCAGGCTCCATTGGGCATGGCCTCAGCCCTGTGGTCTGCTTTTTTTGTTCAAGAGCGTTACTAAGCCCCTGTCGAGCAGAGCACGGGCGTCATCGCATTCGATTTGCGGCCGCAGCAGAGTTTTTGAACGCTTTGAGAATGTCTATGAAGGCCTTGTGTCCCACACCGGGCAGCTCTGGCTCAATCTGACTCAGTGTCAGGGCGTGAGAACCATGTAGGACAATCGCTCAAGTGGTGAGCCTCATGTTTCCAATCCTTGAGAGACACGCGTGCCAGCTTTGAGAGCCATGGTGTTGGCCTTGATTTTCCGGCTGAGAACGCAAGCGCTGGTGAAGCTAGGCTCCTCCATTTGGCCAATGACCAAATAGTGCTCGCCTTGGGCAGCGAAAGGACACACTTCCTCGCGATTGACCAACAAGCTCCTGCGGACCTATGCTTGCCTGCAGCTGGGAGCATGCTGAGCTGGACTATAGCGCTGGTGAGCCTGCGACAGAGATGAACAGCTGAAAGTCGTTCCGGACCCCGCTGGCCGGACCAAGTTTCACCAGGATGGCTCAAAGAAAGACAAAAATCATGAAGGCTGACCGCGCTGTCCTTTGTTGTTATTTGACTTGTTTGCGTACTAGATAGTCCTAGTTCCTGCAGGTTGACATGGGCAAGGCTGGTTGGTCGTTCGCGATTTTTGTGGTGGTCTTACTATGCCATTTAGGGTTGAAGGTGGCCACGAAGTCCTGTGAGCTCTGGAGTTATGATTTTGTGTCCCTCATGGCAGCTGGCGACTGAAGAATCGTCTGGGGCAAAGCCGGCTTGTGGCTCGCGATCCTTTTTGGCAATCTGTCTACGTCATTTGGGTTTGAAAGTTGCGGTGAAGTTCTGTGGGCTCTTGGGTTATGAGAGTTTCAGGTCCGCTCGCAGGAATATGATTTGGATGGCAGCCAAAGGCAGAAATCGGGCACTCCCTGAGGGAGTGACCGAAGGGATGAGCGCCAACCTTCCTGGCAAGGAGTTCAGGCCCTTGCTTTCAGTCTAAGGAAGTGGAAACTATTGTTCAGTTCTTATCTGGTCAGAGCTGTCACCGATGCCAGCCTACTGCTACAGTGAACCGGGGGCGGGTCGAGTGCGAACCTTCCTCGCCTGACTCCTGTTAAGGAGAACCGGCCTTCACTTCGCATCTACGAATCTACGTGGGTGGCAGTCGATTGGCTTCCCCTCAGTGCGTAGCCTATTTGTGGCTGCGTGAAATAGAGCTCCATGGGTCTACTTTCTTTGGATGGTTCCTTGTATTTGTCGTCGATTTGTTGGCTACAACTTATCAGCGCAGCTTACACCCTATCTCTTGAGTCTACTCTCGTTATTGCGGGTTTGGTTTTGAACAAGCGCAGTTGTCCCTGCGCACTCGTTCCCCGTAGCAGAGCTCCTTTGATCGTCTACATTTTTCTTCTTCTTCCGTCTATATGTCCTTCGAGTGGAGCTGAGACTGTACATTGATGCATTCAAGCCGACCCTACTTTCCCTCCCTGCCCACCCTGGTCACTGAGCCAGTTAGGGGCGCGTGGAAGGAGCAAGCTCCGAAGGAGTTGTGCTTGGTTGATTCTTTTTGGTTAACCTTTTGCACAAAAGGGTGCCTATGGCATCCCACTATGGTAGGCGGGCTTGGATGCCTGTTGATTCTCAGACGGCTCGGGGATAAATATAGGCCGCCTGACGAAGCGAGGGTTCGCACAAGTGCATATATATATATATATTTACAATTATACAGATAGTATATATACACATACATATGTATATATATACATAGTATAAAAACAGCCAGTATATAAACAATATCTATAGTCCTATACATATAGCGTCTATATATATATATACAGATGTAAATTTTTCTGTGAAACCCAAAGGGCAGTTGTTCGGCTCTGGGCCCAGGCAGGGCCCCAAACCAAGATAGGTGAGCATCCCTGTCGGTATCTTACTCATGATCCAGGCCAAACCACGATTGATTAACGCATCAGACGTTGCTTCTATTTTGCTCCTGAGCAACAACTTCATGCTGGCTGAAAATTTTGTGTTTGGGCTTCTGTGCTGTTCCTGGATGACTTTTCTGCAAGATCTCCGATAACTTGCTGTGGAATGCATACCATTCTCTTCCTGCAATCCTATCAATCTTGTAAGTTTTCCTGCGCATTGTTTGCTGCTTTGTGCGCGTAACGTGTGCTTCTTGTGCAGGAACTCCCACCACGACATTCCTTCAACACTTGCAATACTCTCAACCTGGGTTCGTTGAACACAAAATAGAGATGATGCAGCATCAATCTCACCAGGTATCTCCTCTGCCACAGAACATAGTATGTTTTTGAGTCCCCCACATGTCAATCAACACCCTGGCCAGCTTGTTCTCGATGTCTCAAATTGTGTTTTTCTCCACCTGACCAAGACCAGCAAGGCTGATTACATTTTCCACCTCTGATGGCTATCTTATTGATGACTTTGGTATAGTATAGTGGATAGTGGATAGTGGATAGGCAATACCGATGGTACTGCAGCAATCATCAATAAATTTTGAAAAAATGAGTATTTGATATATGTTCGGAGAAAACCTTTATGGGTCCCTTTACAATCATGCATGTTTGCAACAGAATGGACAGGTAAATCTGTGCGAGAAATGCACGTCCCATCTTGAAGACACAAATGTGTCACCAGGCCTCCCGGCTTTATCAGTTCAACCAGCATAAGGAGATTCTCCAACAAAGGTTTCAGAAGGCCGGACACAGGATTGTTCCTTTTCAGTTCTATGCCAGCAGTCTTTTTGCCTTATCTGCCGCGCACAGCGCACAGAAGGAATACATCAAAGCTTCACACTTCTCGCTATGGCCCTACTCACTCTTATTATATAACCTGAAGGCTATAGTGGGTTCATTGGTTGCAATTTTGCCCGCTTTTCTTCTGCCCATTCAGTGTGTCCACACCAGAAATTCTCACAGTGAGAGAAGCTGCCAATGCCAGATTGAGTGGTCGGGGCGTTTTATAAGTCTAAGTGCCGGCTGGCAGAAAGCTTTCCTTAGACTTGTGGAAGTGCATTTTGACTGCGGTGTATTTTCACTGCGCATCATTTCGATAAGAGATCGGACTCCTTTGGGCTATCTATCTATCTATCTATCTTATCTTATCTTATCTTATCTTATCTATCTATATGCTAAAGCATTAACGCATGCCTAGGTTGGAGGGCATTCTCGCAGACGCAAATCCTAAATAAACGTCAATCTTGGAAGTCTGGCGTAAGGCTTCTGCTTTTGAGGCCTTCCAACTTTTTGCAGGTCGGTCTCGCATGAATCCTTCGTTTTCCAAGACCGTTTACAGAGATCCTGTAGACGGTTGTGGAGGTTTCTTTGCTTTTGCGTGTGCGAACAACGGGTTTCTTTGTAGCTGCCATGTCACGAATGATCCATTACATAGTTTGACCCCTATTTCCGAAGTCAGCTCCCATTTCATCGAAACAGAACAAAACCATTCTGGGAGGGGGGCAGGATCTCGTCAGGGGGTTGGCTCTGGGCTCTGGACAAAAAGTGCTGCCAAAACCTTGCCGTTGGGTACGCTTTGAGACAACGAGTCTTCCACTGATCATTCTGATCCTTTTCAATAGCTGCCGCATTGGGCAATGGATGTGTGCACATGCTATGCAGGATACTCTCCACCTCACTAGTGACAGGAGGTCACTGCCAGGGATTCAGAGAAACCCTGAAACACCCTACATCCCACAAAACGCAGCAAGAACCGAAGCAAGAACAGCCTTCAGATAGAGACAGTATATGGCGAACCATCGTCCTCAGTTTTATTATCCCCGTCTGCCTTGTGCAAGCCTTCTCATGCCCCCAAGTCACAAGTCTGGGCCAATCATCTCTAGAATCACTTGGAATGTCATCCTTGGGACAAAGGGCCTGAAGCCATTCCAAATCCCGGCAGATCAGTTCATACCAGTAGCTATTTTGCTGGACAAGGGCCCAAAAATGGGGCTGCCCTCGAACAATGTAAGCAACGCGAAGCGCAACTGAGGGAGACAGGAGCTCAAGCTCGACAACGACTTGTGCGCTCCCCCACTCAATAGCAGGCTTGCCAAAGTGTGCTAAGCATATTCTCTTGAAAATGCGTCCAAAGCCATCTCTCTCCACTTGCAAAATTTGTTTCCGCGTTTCCATACGCCACGTCGCACAATTATATACATGTAATTGTGCTTATGATTTATGATTTGAAGAGCCGGCTCTTTGACTCAAGCCTCATTCCTCGATTTGAAACACTGATGTACGATAATCTGATGAGCATTTGCAAATTTCACACCAACAGTTTAGTGGAGTTTTCCACCATCCTCGATAAAGGTTCCTGCTGTAGATGCTCATAGAATCGAACTGCTCGCAACTGTCCTTGGACAATGGTCGACTGCAACTGAAAAACTGAGCCAGATTGAACTAAAGCTCGTCTGGCTTTGACCGCCCCAACCCCTCTGACTGGTCGAAGCTCGCTTTGAACATTTCGTTTTTTTCGTTGCTTGAACTGCTGCGCTTCGTCGGAAATCTCAGCAACCTTCAGAGTCTGAGAACGATGTGAAATCACGAAAGGTCATCAGCCAGTAGGCCGGCAGGCCGGCAGCTCCAAAAGGATTCAATTCACCTGTCCATCAAGCTTAGAAAGGGGAATTGAGACGTTCCAGCTTGGGACAGTATCTTGGATAAGGCAAATCCAAAGCACATGTCCACGAAGCTATCTCCAGGTCTGCTTCCCCTTCGGGTTTGAGTCCATTGCAGCGCCCCATCAATTTTACACCACGTACCTTCGTAGAATTCTCAAAACATATTTTGGCCTCTGGCCGAGATGTTCTTCGAACTCTTGGAAAGCTTCCTCAGAAAACCATGATGCTTCTAACAAGATCTTCAATGGACCTGTCTCGCAAAGAGTTGATATTGTGTCCTCTAGCAAGTCTCAAAAAGCGCTCTGAATGTCGACGAAGAGTATCGCAGTACTATGCCCTCGCCTCAAAGTAGCATGGTGAATTAAGTACAAAGAATGGGACGGCTGAGTTATCCCCATACCTTTGATAGCTCCAAGTTGCATCCGCCCTCCAGAGACATTGATAACGGCAATAAAGAAATCCAGATATCTTGCAAGGAGCCTTGTGAGAGATTCTGCGAGGGGGTCTCGGACAGAGATCCTGCCTCTTGAAGGCACCGGTCACCAAACATAAAATGAGGGCAGTGCTGACGGCCTGCATCGTGACCAGTGTCTATATGCCATGGTGTGCTCTTCCGACACTGTTTAGGGGGCCTTTGCGGGGTAGTTTGTTTTCACGGGTATGGCATGCCAGGTTAGCCCTTTGACTGGCCTGGGGTTAAACCTCATTGAAGAGTCTACACCTCCAAAGCCGCTGGACAAGGCCTTGATTTGCTTTGATGCTGACTTGGTTGATCCTTGAAATCATTGCCCAGCCAAAGCAGTCAATACAGACATACTGGTAACAAAAACCTACGAAAACTGTACTTGGAGTCTTGCGAGAATCGGCAGGTCGAGGTGGCTAAAAGTGAGTTTGGCAGCCAAGTGTTTCTCTTGTTATTCTCTTGATATTGTTTATCTAGTTCACGAAGGCATACGAAGGCCGCCTCTGAAATCGCAAGTTCGTGCTTCTGGACCATGTCCTTCGAAAACGCGTTTTGTCAAAAGAGGGCGACGGCCTTGCTGAGATGAACTGGAGTGCCTCCAGTTTAGTGCCTGCTTTGTTCAGGAACTAGCCCCGACATGCCCCGACTAGCAGTGATTTTTTGCAAGCCGAGGCGGAACTCCGCTCCAATTCCCAAACTTAGCAACATCTTGGAGTTTGAGGCGGTGTTTTGGATCCTTTTCTGAATGGTTATGGACAGATTCTTACATTACACTTTGCAGGATATGAGCGTGCTCCAGCGTCAGAATGACGAATTGGCAAAGCACATGCAGGCTGTGCTTGGGTTTTGCAATGTTTTACTTTGAAAGGGGTTACAATTGGCATCAAGACCACTTTTGTTGTGAAAGTTTGCCTGTGACAGTGCGGAGAACGACTTGTTATGCAAACAGGATTTGGAGCGTGCCAAAAGCTTAGCTGCGATGACCTCCGCACAGGTGGGAGTCAAAAAGCCAACAACATTAGTCATGTCAGTCACGACAGCTTGCCAGCAGGCGCTGCAGAAGATCCGCCAACGGCAGGCGCAGTTCTTTTTTTGGTCAACATATTTCCTGTGTGCCACCCTCCCCAATTTTCTTGTTCTGCCAATGTCATTCTGTGTCTTAAGGAGCAGCTCAGGAAGGAACAGCAGCAGTGCATGCTAAAAGCGAAGGAACACGGGGCTGTTGCGACAAAGCGAGAAGCGATCTGAAGTGAGTGTGAAGGTATGTCAGCTGGAATGTTCTTTTAAGTCTTACGCACTATGCTGGACAAGAGAGCTTGTAGTGGCCCCAGGAGATCCAAGCCGACTACATTCCAGGTCCGCGAGTTGCTGGTGTTGCGCCAGCAAGACTTTGCTTGTGTGCAGGTTCACCGTTTCTTTGGACACTTGAGGAGGAATATGTATTTATATATGCTGTTAAGGACCGCAGCATCGGACTTTTTCCGACGCAACCCAGGGTCCACCGCCGAACTGCTTTGAGGCGGCGTTCATTGGTACACTTCTCGATTTGAAATGCTGGTCAATGGACCTTCATTTTCCACATCGGTCCCAACTTCTTTTGACCAGCATTTCTCGAAGCCTTTTGGCTCCAAGCTCAAACAAGGTCCAGCATGCGACATGAAGAATCCCCCTTAAAAAGCTAGAAGAACCCTTCTTGGTTAAGCTATCCGAGATCACGATCGAACCTGGCACCCATCGAGTCTGTCCCCGTGTCGCTGACATGTCGTTCTTCAGAATGGCCAAGTCGATGGCAGTTCTCTTGTCCTCGATGTGAGCGGCCACATTGGTGGATCTGTTCAGGTTGTCAAACAGGGATCGCGAGTCTGTGGCTGTGAGATATGGAGTTTTGCTGATTTGCTTTTGCCAATTCTGCAAGCTCATCTTCAGTCCTTTAATCTCAGCCAACAAAAAAATCTCATCCAGTAGGACGCTCCAACCGCTTGCACCATTGCCTGTGCTTCAGCTGCCAGAGTATTTACTGTGCACCGCTTCAATTTCGAGCCCTTCCAACTCAGCAAAGAGATGGGTTGAGGTGTTTGCTCTGTTTCTACGTCCTTGTGGTAAGCGAAGACTATGTATCCTCCTTGGCTGTGGGTTCGGCCAACTTGCAAAAATCTTTCATGGATCTTCAAAGAGCTCACCATCAATCCATGTTGCTCTTTCTTCCTCCAATTCATGAAGCTGTGGACCTCCATATGCTGCTCCTGGATGAAATAGTACATGTCGAGCTTGTACATGGTGTCGTATCGAAAGGTCATCTTTCTCTTCCCAAAAGTCTTCGCTCTCTGAAGCCGATCCTATTCTGATGTCTCTCGTTGGGGTTGGAGTCAAGGTGATTCCTGTCCCGATCTCCTCAACGGCTTCTTTGGACAATGCATTGGCTTCTAACATGTCTCGTACATATGGCTGGGGCATGCATTGTTGAAGGATGCATACTCGACCCAGCAAGTCAGGTCTTGTCTCTTTTGCGAGCCATGCTAAAGATCCCAAGGATGTTCTCAAAGATGATATTTCCTCTGGCGTGCATAGTGCATACTTTTGACCTCTTCTTTCTTTTGAGATCTCTATCTGCTTGATCTTCTCGTGAACGTACACAGGTTGTTGTACTTTGATTCTTCCACCTGAAAGGCAGTTGATCTCCTCCCCCATGAAGCGTCCATCTCCTTTGGTGAACTTGCCCTTTGTAATGTTGTTGAATCCATTCCATTTGTCGCCAATGCCGAGGTCCTCCTCCATGGATCAGATCATCTGTGGCCACTCCAATGATTCCTTCCAGTCTTCTCTCTTGATCTTCGTCTCGTCCTGATGATTCTGGAGTGTCAAACAGAAGGTATAGGCATGGGTCCGCCTGAGATTGTTCATAACCCAATTGGGTCAAGATCTTTTGCTGATGAACGTACCATTGATATGGTCCATCCAGGAGTCCATAGCAATGTTTCTTCAACTTTAAAAGCTGTCGTTCTTGTACTCCTGGGATTCCTTCTGGTGGTACTTCTGCGAACAACAGTCGTGAGATGGGATCTCCACTGTGAAATGCTTGGGTGAAGTCGAGATACCCAGGTGTCCACCGTGATGAACAGATTGTTTGTAATATGAGCAAGACTGTCTCTGGTGCTACTTGTGGCGTAGCTGCTTCTAACCATTCCGAATCTGGCTCACTAAATCCCTTCATCGCATGGCTTGCCTTGGCTTTGAATCCGCCATGTTCATCTTCTTGAACTAGGAGTCCTTCTTCTTGAGTGGCTGGGACTTCCTCCGCTTCAATTCGTTTTTCCACTAGCACATAGCGCGATTGAAGGATGTTGTGTCCTGCGCGCCGAACTTCTTCTGGCTCCTCTGGTGACAGAATCTCATAGGCCCCAGTTTTGATGTTGTTGTCGATCTCCTTCTTGATGGCTTCGTAGTACTTTGTCTTGGTCTCTTCGAGCAGTTGTTTGAGCTTGATCTCATTTTGTCCTTTTTGCTTTTTCATCACTGGCATCATCGTTCGAAGATTGTCCAGGACTTTCTTCATCTTCTTCTAGAGGTCTTGCTCGTCCTCTATGGACCTCCTCTTCTTCTTCAGGACCTTCTTCTTTTTCAGTCCTCGCCCTTTTCTCAAGACCTTCTCTGACTTCCTCCTCATCTTCAGCTTCTCGCTTTTGTCCATACTTCTTTTCAACTTCTTCTTCTTCTTCTGGTGTGGTATTTTCTTCTCTTCCCTGTCCACCTTTCTCCCACGGATATGTATCCATCGCCATCTGGAACTCTGTTCTTCCTTTCCATCTTCTTGGAGTTTGTTGATCTCCATGATGCCAATCATCCACAACTTCTTTGCTCGAACCATCTTCGAAGTACATGGTGGTCCTCCGTTGTGGTCCGAGTTTGTTGTAGCCCACGGGGCAGGCAGAGACATCGGTCGGCTTGAAAAGCTGTCGTCGATATTGTAAGTGGAATCGAGTCAAAGTTTGTTTAGCTTCATTCCACATCCATCCTTCTTCGTCTTCTTTCGAAAGACCACATCTTTTCTCTCCGTTTTTCCTTCGATCTTATACTTTGGTTTCTCGGAATTCGAAGTCCGAGGTTCCCAAGGTGCATCTTCTCCTTCATCCTCAAAGTCGTCTTCCTTGTACTCCTTGGTCAGGTCGATGTAGCCAGCCTTAGGTTCTTCTTCTAATACCTGTCGTAGATGGGAAAGTCCTTCCATCCATGCGGAGAGTGATTGATGCTCTTCTGTACTTGCATGTCGGAGTTGTTCAGGCGCAGCCTTGACGATGAGCCTCCGGAAGTTAATCCATACAGCATTAGGTGGTGATTTCCAAACCACTTTGGCCGGTCCTCTCCAGTATCTTGTACTCTCTTTGCTTGCTTTGTCTCCTGGGGCTCTTCTCCAGAAGTACACTGTTTGACCAACTTCAAAGTCCTGTGTACCCCGTCGCCCATGATGAAGTGCATTCTTCATGGCCTGCTGGCATTCGATCTCATGGAATGCTTTTGCTGCTGCCAGTCTCATCGTTTGAGCCCGCTGCGTTTGAAGATCTCCTCGATTCGCCCATTGTCTTTCACTCTGTTCTTCGTTGGTGAGGAACTGTAGGCCTCCTGGCATCTTGGGTGTGTATCCCAATAGCCGTTGGCACGGAGAATAGCCCGACTTGTTGGTCAAACGGTTTACAGTCATATTCACGATGTCCACGTGGTCTCTCCGTTCGGCCTCCGATTGTGTTGCATAGTTGCCCATTGCTCTCACCAGGATTTCCTTGAAGGTTTTTCCGGCCCGTTCTGTGATTGCTCTTTGAGTTGGCATTTTCAAGGCACTCGGTTCGACAATGGTCTCATCCAATTCCGCTCCGTCTTGAAATGCTGAACAAAATTCTTTGCCCAGATCAGTGAACAATCGTTGTGGCACCCCCATAAACCTCACCCATTCTAAGTAGGCTCTTCTAGCGTCGGGCGCTGTATGACTTCGAAGTGGTATCACCATCTGAAATCAAGTAGCCCAGCATACGATGTTTAGGGCCATTCGTCTCTTCTTCCCATGAGTTGGCAGCCAAATAGTGTCTACCCCAATCGTGTGGTTTGGCGGTAATTCTTTGGGTGGAGCTGCCGCCCGTGGAGGTCGTACAAGTTGATGTTTTTGGCGTATCGAACAAGTCAGGTTTTTGGCGCGCTCCACTGCTTTCTTTGACGCTCCTGCTCCTTGTAGTATCCGGGCGAGTCTGTCGTTTCCTGGGTGTCCAAGTCCTTCATGGGCTCTTCGAACCAATTGTTCTGTGGAGAATGGTCTTTCTCTAGGTTGTCTAGGTAACCACTTCTTTCCTTCTTCAGTCTTTTCCTCATCATCTTCCTTCTCTTCCTTCTCTTCTAAGGCCTGGATTGAGTGGGGTTCTTCATGGTGTTCCTGTACGAACCAGTTCCAGAGGCTTTCATATTGTCGTAGTCGTTCTTCAAACTGAAAGCAATCCGCCATGTTCATCCATTGAACAGGTTCTGTAACTGGTTGTTGTCTCTTGTATTGCGTCTCATCCCGGTAGCCCTCCAGGATTGCTGTAATCAGCGGCTTGGGGTAGATCTGTGCTTGAGAGGCTCGACTTCTTCCTCCGCTGGATCCCAACACTAAAGTGTGTAAGTGTGTGCATGAGTTCCATCGCACTTCTTGTTCAATCGGTTGCACTTGCTGACTATTGGTGATCCATCCTGTACTTTTCTTCATCTTTCCACCATGATAGTCTTGAAGGCCATATTGACACTGATCACATTGGGCTAGGATGCAATCTTCTCTGGCCATAATCTTTTGAAGAGTGCTTTCTAACCTTGAGTTGGAAGTCAGTGGTTGTTCCAAGAGATATACTCCTCCGATCTCGACCGCAAATCGGGCAAATCGCTGTGGATTGAAAATCTCGACGACGGCCTTTGGGGACCCCCTTATCATCTTAGCATACTGTCGTTTGGTTCGCACGCTGGACTGAAGTTGCTCAAAGTCTTTTTCGATGGCGCAAATTGGATCTTCGTTCTTCAGAAGGTTCATAATCTCCGTCAAGTAGTTCCCTGCCATCTCAATGGAGGCGATCATAGCCTTTTGATTCTTTTCGCTCAGACTTTTCCATTCTCCCATGGCCTTCAGACCTTGTTCAAGGCGTTCTTCTTCTGCTTGTCTTTGCTCTCCTTCCATTTCTGGAATTCCATGAACTCTTGATACTCCTTCTTCTCCTCCTCGATCTCGGAGTCCGTCTTCTCCATGGATGCTGGTTCTTTCTTGATCTTCTCCGCGTCCGTATTCTTCCTCTCGGACTTCAGTGTCTTCCCACAAGTCAGGCACCGTTCGATCTCGATGAAGGCAT